TCTCAATTTTATAGGTAAAACCGTTCGTTATAGGAATATTCGTAGTAGGATCCGTTCGTTATAGCATACGCCACTGTATATATATCCGGGTTCGAATCCTGGCAGGGTGAGGTGTTGATTATATGATCTATTATGTAACAAATATTTCTGTGCATTACTGATGGCACTACGCTGTATTAGTGCACAAGCCACCCATCTTTCAACTGTCCATGAGACACTGAATCAAGAAGTTCTGAAGGTCAAAGAAAAGCTTGATCACAGTGCAATAACAGTAGCGTATGATCTGGAAATGTATTCCAAAGTACATGAGATTGTGTGGAAGTATTATGAATAGTTCCAGCCTGTGGTTGTTAGATTAGGGGCCTTTCACACAATGTGCAAGTTGCTCTCAGTCATTGGGAAGAGATTTCAAGATATTGGGTTGAGGTATTTGGTCGTTGAGTCAGTCATTACAGCAGAGGGATCTATCAATGCAGTACTTGACGGGAAAGGCTAAAACAAAGTGTGATATTTCACAAACCGAAGTATGAGGCACTATTGCGAGCAGCTTCAAAAGGATAATCACGCTGTCAATGACACCATCACTGAAATTGGTAAATAACATGTAATGCAAGAATGACTCTAGGAAGTGTTTCAACACCCATCCTGTATAAAAGTGTTTACTGATTTACCAGCAATTTGGATGGAAGTAGCTCTCGACTTCATCTGAGAATCAAGAAGGAAACTGGCTTCTTCACATAGCCATGATTAAATGTATTATATAATAGTGTTTTGCTTATGATTGGCAGGATTACATACAGTACCTACAAACTTACTACAATGACAAGACATGGCTTCCCACAGAACAGCCTGATGTTTACAATAGTGGTTTTGCTGCACAAAGTGGGTTGTCAAATCCATTTGGGAATATAAATTTACAGAAAAAGCAGTGAATAAAGATACACAGACATTGGGTGTACCAAAGGTTTAAGCCTGAAAGCAGGGATAGTCTGTAAATATTATTGAACAGCAAAGTTTTGTAGCATATCTTTGAAGAAACCGAAGAGTAATGGTTTAGGTTCACAAATAGGTAGTAGCACATACTGATCTAGAGCCATCAACATTCAACAGGAGTGAAAATGTTGTTCAGGCACTTGTTGACATATCTGAAAACAATTGGATCAATCCCTTTAGTGAAAAATCATGAATCAGTGACTGTAATTACACCGGTCAACACAATTTTTCTGGCACAAGGTTTTTAAACGGATTTTAAGTAAATTTGGGGTGCAGAATCCAAATATGACTGGTTTTTGTCTATCACATCAGGTTTTTGAGATATACCATATTGCACTTTTGCTGGGAAACGTAAACTTTTGGATCAAAATTGGCGGTTTAAACATGTATACATAAATTTTTTCAGCATTATAATTTGTATTTTTCTATAACCAAAAATTGTTAATATCAAATTGGAAAGTTAATGCACATATAATATTTAAATGTAACATTGAAGGGTGAAAAAAAACAATTAATGTACGGTAGAAATAGTGCAAGTATTAAGATCAAGTTACAGTTACATAAACTTCCTCTTTTTGGCCGATCTCTTATGTACAGCTTCTGGAATGTCTCTCATCAAACTCCAGCAGTAGTCCGCCATCATGTTCGAGTCCCATCGACCTTGGTAACGTTCTTCCATTACTTTAATGTCTTGATGAAAGCGCTCCCCTTGCTCCTCGCTCACTTCTCCCAGATTTTCTGGAAACTCGTCCAAGTGACTGTGTAAGTAGTGAACCTTGATACTCATTCTGCATCCAAGTGCTTGTAAACTCAAGAGCAGCTCTTCCACAATTTCTTGATAGTTGTCCGCTTTCTTGTTCCCTAAGAAGTTCCGCACCACATTAGAGAAAGCATTCCAAGTTCTTACCTGTGCCTCAGTCATTGTTGCAAGGAAGTGTGGATCTCTGAGTAGTGTTCTTATTTGAGGTCCATCAAAAATCCCTGCCTTTTTCTTCTCGTCGCTAAGACTTGGAAAGGTTGAGCATATATATCTGAAACACTCCCCACTATGATCAAGAGCCTTGACGAATTGCTTCATGATACCAAGTTTTATGTGCAGAGGAGGAAGGACAATGTTTTTCCTGTCAACCAGAGGATCGTTAATGATATTCTTGTCACCAGGCGTCAAACTGTCTTGGTGGCCAATTCTTTTTCACCCAATGGTCTGCTGTAGCCCTGCTGTCCCAGTAGCACAGAAAACGGGGGCATTTTGTGTACCCTCCTTGCTGGCCCAATAGAAAGTTTACCATTTTCAAGTCCACACAAATTAACCATTCATGAGCATGGTATTGCAACCTCTCTAGAACAGTCTTAATGTTTTCATACTCTTCTTTAATTTGTACAGAATGTCCGATTGGAATTGAACCATACTTGTTTCCGTTATGAAGAAGAACACATTTCAAGCTCCTTTTAGAACTGTCAATAAAGTCTCCAATCCTTACTATCATATGCTGGTAGTCCCATGGAGAGAAGAAGTCCTTCTACATCATTACAAAAAACAAGCTGGTCATATGAATGAAAGTACTTCCGCAGTTGCTCTTCTCTGTTGCGATAAAAGGAGACACTCGTGCCAGGTTTTAAGAGTCGTTTCTCTTGAAGCCTGGAAGCTAACAATTCAGCAGACTGTTTTGGCAAATTTAGATCTCTGACCAGATCATTCAATTCTGACTGAGTAAACAACGTTGGCTTTTCACAATCTTCACCAGAGGCTTGAAAAGATCAGTCTCTTCATCTTCATCAGTAGAAACAGGTGAATTCCGGTCTATATCCTCAATCTCTGGTAGCTCAGTAAATTCTGGCACGTTACGTGATGGAGCAAATCTGAGATCAGATTTGGATTCAGCACCTTAAAGTTAGTAAAAAACAGTTAAAAGGTTTCATGCCAGAAAAAAAAATATTTTTTTGTAGACCAGTGTTATCAGATGTTAGAAATGACTTATAGTACTATATTACAACTCGTGCAAACCAAAATTTATTAGATCATATGCTGAAGTTGAAGCTTAAGACTTGGTAATGTGAGGAAATACCAGACAAGAAAACCAAGGCATAAAATATGGAGGTGATGTTAAAGGCAGATCACAAGTTTTGGTCATTTAGCCTTAGCGGTATCAGGTAGAAATTTTTGCATAGAAGAAACACTTTACCATCTACTTGGACCACTGGCTTGACACAGGCATTTTGTGATGGGAGGGTGACGAAAACTAACACGACATTTTTTTTAAGAAACCTAGAGAGCTGAATAGCACATGCTGAAGAAATTCCTCGGTCATTTATATACATACAGATACATGCAATATAGATGTGATGGTCTTGGTCCACAAAATGAATGGTGAAACGTACACAATTGGTGAGTTGGCAGACATGATACTTATCTGAGCACTACAGCATTTTTCAGTTCAAATGGATGGTTTTTCAGTAGATGGCGACATACGAAGGCCAATATATGACATTTTGCAATCTGAATTGACAGTTGCAACACATGATGTAGGAGACATACTTTGAGTTCGAGCATTCACTCAGACACTCAACACAGTGAATGCTCAAACACGAAGTACTGTATACTGTATGTCTCCATTCCTATGTCATTTGCTGCTATAGTTGTCATTTAATGGCCTTTGTACTTCACCACCAACAGAAAAACTGTCCACTTGGGCCAAAAAATGCTGTAAAGACTGGATGCAATTGTGTCAGGATAGATTTGGTGCTCAATGTCTACAAGGACAAGTCAATAAAGAAAGCAGAAAGGGAATATTAAAGCTTGGGAAAAGTCCCAAGTTTACTGTCATCTGGCATGTCCGTTTGCAACAGTATCAATCAATCCACATGGGAGTGAGCCCAACCCTAATAAAAAATTAGGCCATTTAAGAGTTGGATATATCCCAGAGAGCAGTGATACTGCTAATAGTATTAGCACATTACTCCAGATTCATAAGGGGCTGGATCATTGTAAACATCCCTTACAAATGATTATAAAGATTACCTTCTTTCCTTAATGATTACACTTAAAATTTGAGGCTCCACTACCTACCCCTTAAATTTAGGCCATTTAAGAGTTGGATATGTCCCAGAGAGCAGTGATACTGCTAATAGTATTAGCACATTACTCCAGATTCATAAGGGGCTGGATCATTGTAAACATCCCTTACAAATGATTATAAAGATTACCTTCTTTCCTTAATGATTACACTTAAAATTTGAGACTCCACTACCTACCCCTTAAATTTAGGCCATTTAAGAGTTGGATATGTCCCAGAGAGCAGTGATACTGCTAATAGTATTAGCACATTACTCCAGATTCATAAGGGGCTGGATCATTGTAAACATCCCTTACAAATGATTATAAAGATTACCTTCTTTCCTTAATGATTACACTTAAAATTTGAGGCTCCACTACCTACCCCTTAAATTATTAAAAGTATGGCAGAAAACACTTAGCTTAATGATAAGGACAAGAGCTGGAGTAGACAATGTCAATTCACTATAGGTAGAAAATGGACAGATGGGTTGATCAGAAAATTTTAAGAGCATCTGTCTACTGGACAGGTAGACACATCTAAAGATCTGACTCTAGGTCACCTTTGTTTCTATTAAACATTTTAAGGGTATTTACTGCAATGGTAAGAGATGGACAATTGTGAGATCTGTCTCAATTTGTAAAGACAGTGTTCTACAGTTTTAAAACCTTCAGTCTGATCTACATTATTATGAGAGCTGCTTGGAGTCGAACTGTTAGAAACTTAAAGTTAAGATTTTCTTTGACGTATTTTTTTTTTCTCCACAAATCTTTCAAAAGAAAGAACTAATTTGAATACAGTTTTACATACTTAACTCATAACATTTACTAACAAGAAAAGAAGAATTCAAAATAATTAACATAACACGTTAACTACTAACATTCCCATAGCATTCCTGAAATAGGCATAAGTGACTGAGCTTTTTATTGTAAAATTTGAAATAAACAAACTAAGTACCACTTATACTGTTTAATGTTTCACTTGGCTTCCTCTTATAAAATCCTATGATTTGTCAAAGGATATATCACAGAAAATTATGCCACTGAGTTATTTAACAAAAGAGGGAGAGTTATTCAACAAAAAAGGAAGTTTGTATAGTGTACTTATCTTACTATAATACAGTATACTGTACACACAAAACTGACATTAAAACATGAAATAAAGACTGGCACACTACATAAATCCACCAGGTCAGTGTCAAATAAATTTCAACTGAATTCATCTTCTATAAACTTAAAAGATTGGTAAGACACTTTGCCATATTGGTCAAGAGTGGCTAAGACTAGGGTCTTTTTGGTAGCAGTAGCAATGCGTGACCAAGATACAAGGTCATTATTATTCACACATTCCATATCTTCTACACACTTGATGATAAAAGTTGCATGAAACAAATGAGGATCTCCTGGGTACACTAAAAAATCTCCACCAAATTTGACTCCTGCTGTAAGATATTGATCATGTTCCCACACATCCTTAAATACTGCATATCTTAGTTTGTCCATTTTACTTGTGGGAAATGTCCAATCAGCAGCAACAGGTCTTAAATTATCTATAAAAGGGTTTTCAGTAAATATCTCTATCACTTGATAATGTTCTGGTAGTTTCTGAATTTTACGCATTTCTTCCCTAATGACATTCTCTCTTGTTAATTCATTTTTCTCCTTTTCAACAACAGCCGAATTAGCCTTTTTTCTTTTTTCTATTTTTTTAGCTTTACCTTCAAGAATAGTGTCAACAAAGGTTTCAATTTCTTGTTTACGTTGTTGTACCGCAGCCACAATTTGTTCATGATAACATTTTTCTCTCAGATCTTTGAAGGTATCCAATATATTACTCGATGGTAGCTCAGCCATTTCCTGGTATGTAATAGGCTTAGCAAAACCCTTCTCTAATAATAAAGTTACTTCTTCAGGCAGGAGCTTAAGTGGAAGACCCATCATGGTTGACTGGTGTGGGTGCCTTGGCAGGGCTCCTACGAGATACCCTACAATTCTGTATTTGGTCCATGCAAGTTTCACATCTCTGACATTCCACAGGTGGCCTTGGTCATGGGCAATGACCAAATTAATTTGATGCTCATCTTCAGGAACTGCTTGGGGATCCATGACAAAACTGTACCCGAATCTATACAGATACAATAATACAGTACTGCACTACAGTATACAGTACTGTACTGATTATAGATGAACCTTCTAATGAGCAATTCTGAGTGGATATCAGCTGAAGGTTGCAGTCAGTTCCTATGGAAAAGAAAATGTGGCAATGAAAATAATTTTGGAGATAAATAGAGCCATTTAAATTTCATATGCAAGAACAGAAGGCAATACTGTACAGTAGGGAGTGACAGTTTGGCAAAAGTTTTCAAAATCAAGTGGCTTGGGTTGGATTATTTGTCTATCGGCCACGCTGGTTCCGAATACAGTATGTTTGAATCTTTAACATCAGTACATTAGAAGGTTTGTGGATACTTTTCGGTTCGACATAAAAAAAACAAGAATAATGGTAGACATTCTTTATTATTGGCATGTATGCTTCAATTTATCAGCAGCACACTAGCACAGTTGGCACACTAACATTGGCTGTCCCCACAGTGTCCCCTCAGTCCCAGTGTCCCCACAGTCTAGCACTGGTAGTCCTCTTTCTTAGCCCTCCGCTTGTTTCTCTTCCTGGCCTCCAGCTTGTTCCAGGTGACCTGGTCCTGCTGCCAGGCAGAGCTGGCCACGTCTGCCGCCTCCGTGGTGAGCTTCACTCCTCTTTCCACTGCGGTGGTGGTGCAGGGCAGACCTGGCTCACTCTACGGTTCCTCCAGAAATTGCTCCAGTTCCTGGTCACTGTGCTCCTTCTCCCTCTCTTCTTTCAGCTTGGCAGTCACAATTTTGTCAACGCCATCAATGCAGCCCTCCCTTCCCGGTTTCCTCTGGGCTGCCAGGAAGCTTTTCTCTCGTTCGTGCACTTTGCTGTCGTCTGCCACATCAAACAACTTCTCAGCTATATCCTCGAACCTCATCTTCAGCTTCCCGTTCTTCGTTTTCTTCCTTTTCTGTTTCTGTCCATTTCCCTTCATCATCATCGTCTCCCTCCGCATCCTCCACAGGTCGTGGACTCTCATTTTCACCCTGATTTCAGAGATAGTGGGGACAGTGGCCTTCCTATACACATCCAGTACCTTCTCAGTCACCTTGTTGGTGGCATCCATATAATCAAAAGCATTTGTTCTTCTCCTTAACCTCTCGTTTTCTGCTTCATAAGCCAGGGCACTTCCAACTTCCTTGTTCAGAGCCAACTTGTTAGATGGCAGAGGCATCCGAACCCCGAACACCTTATCGTTACCCTGGCGCAGCTGAGTGTTGCTAATCTTAGGACGACCCATCTTGGTGGCGGCCCTTTGAACTAACTGCAAAACAACACAGAAAAAACAACTTTCAGCACTTCAATATCACCACCTATTGAACAATATTTTATTCAAAAGTACGGACTGAGATTTTGTCCTTAACTGTCCAAGTCAAGCTACTTGGGCTGAATTCGTTGATCAGTCCTGGGACGAATATTACCAACGGCGTGAATAGATTCCGTGGAATAAATTCAGGGCATTCCCGTCCAGGGAGCCTCAACAAACTCTGTAAATATTGCCATTGGCCTGCCATTGGCACATATACGGAGTTTGGTAATGTTCCATGAGCGGGAATGTCCTGAATTCATTCCACGGAATCTATCCACGCCGTTGGTAATATTGGGCCCTGGTTTTCGAAATATACGTATGTGGTGACTTGCAGCAAAAATATCGGCATAATTTGTAGCGCATTGAGTTGTAAAACAATAGCATATTATGAACCAGTGTACACAGTAGTCGAATAATCCAATTCAATAACTTGATTTTAACAGGTTGTGCCACATTGCCAGTCCCTTTATTATTTACAGTTTTTTCGCGTTTTTCATGCCAAACCCAAAAGTATCCACAAACCTTCTAATGCAATGATGTAAAAAACTCAAACATATTCGGAATTAGCGTGGCCGATAGACAAATAATCCAACCCAAGCAATTAGATTTTGAAAACTTTTGCCAAACTGTCACTCCCTACTGTACAGGTATCTGCACACTGTAATGTATACAGTAATGACTCCATAAAGTGCAATAACTGGTGATAGGCTAGTGGAACTTATGAAAACCTTTTTTTTTTAATTCTTAGTGATTTGAAAGCAAAACAAAACAAAATTATTTCAACTGTAAAACCACCATTGTAAATAAAAAAAAACAATGTAAAAACATATAGAATGCAAAACAGTCTTAAGTGGACTGAATGCAAACATGATACAGTACTGTATTAGGATTAATTTACTTGCATAATAAAGAGTGCAGCAGTTGAGTGGATACAGCACTCACCTCTTGTTCCAGGGTCGTTGGTTCAATTCCCGGGCGCTCCCAGTTCAGTCACCTATAAATGGATATACTGTATCAGTTTACAACTTAGGTAAGTGAATGTGGTGAAGTGAAATAACAGCCATTGTTGCCTCTTTGTGTACCAAATGCTTAGTACTGTATACAGTGTGCTGTATCCACACTGTTCCTAACAGGCAGTCATAATGATGGGACTCACTTTCACTTACATAACAAAATTTTAAGAATCACATATATATTGCATCATATTTTCACAACTTACTGAACTCACACCTTGGATTTGATCCCATGGATTGTATACAATCAGAATTGAGTGGCTTTGAGTTAGCAGCACAATACATCCCTAAGTTGTACTTATACAATTTATAGAGTTCCAAACCTGCAATCAAGATTTCATACAGCTTATAAATTTGTAAGACTTAAAACATGTGCAACTTAATAAGTTATTCATTTCACCTGTAAAAATATTATTGAAATTACTGTATCTGAATAAATTTTGGCATAAATATTTTTTTTAAATCAAATAAGAATTCACATGTAACCTAGATAATATTGTATTTTCAAAACCAGGTCTACTTTAAAACCACCTAATGTACATCTCAAAAAGAATAAATATGACACTTATTATTAATACAGTACTGTACAATAATAGCAAGTACAGTACTGTATGTAAGATTTGCAATTTTCCAACTTACAATATTAGTGTACCCCTGTACATATATGTACAGTATCAGTTTGGCAACACACATAAACCAACAAAACAAGTTATCTATCTACCTAACCTATTATTATTATTATTTTAGGTTACTACAGTACAGGTAATTAAGTTCATGTAGGCAAATGACAGACAAGACTACAGTTAGGGGAATGTTTGTAGACAGGTTGTTGGTGCACACTGCATTTATCATGTGCAAGATGGTGTCAAAGTGGGTGTGTGACAGTGGTATTTCTCATGATTTATGGGAAAAATTTTGGACAAAAACCTGATTAGGAAAAGTGCAGTTCCTCGACCTGACCGGTTTATGCTTGAGGTAAGAAATAAGTTTTCTTCTACATGTATGGAAATTTTTCCCAAAGTGGCTGGATAACCCGGGCAACTATCCTTAAAATTTACCCTTAACATAACCAAAACTAAGTTACCTAATCGAACCTAATCTAGGATAGGTTGATTACGTTGGTTCATATTATATCCTATAATTCATATAATGTAGCTATATAGTTGGTAACACTGTGCATGTAAATACAGTAGTAAATATGGCATCATAGCACATCAACATAATAGATATCCAGTACATTATGTATTCAGAATGGCAAATTAGTACATATAAGATTGTACAAATAACAAACCAGGCAATCTTGTATTTGATAGGTGTAAAATCACAAGCACATTTATTGACATGTGATGAGACTGGGAACTTTCCAGGCCCAGACTGGGGGGGCACCCTAGACCATGACTACCTTATATAAACAGAAGGTAAACTAATAGATGTAACATGCCAAAAGCTTCCACAAAAGAATATTTCCATCACACCATCACAATTCCATTTGTTGACCACCTAAATTTATTGATGAATGACTCGGAATGGAGGAAAAAATTCTGAAGTACAAAGAATCAATGGTCAGTGATCTTCCATCACCAGAGTGTCTTGAAACAGAAATGGAATGTTTGGGTGTCAGACCTACCCTGACAGCTACACTCAGACAAACCTTTTCTTTATTTCATCCACACATATACAGTACGTATATATATACTGTATATATTTCATGTAGATCCACAATGGAAACATGGATAAGATAAATCTTGATAAAATCACACAGGAAAAAGGGAAACAATGGTGCACCAGTTTCCCTTTTTCTTGTGTGATTTTATTCAAATCTGACCATCATTTTTGTGCAAATTAGCAGTTTGTTAAAATGAAATTGTTAATTTTTTGCAAAAAAAATGATAATTTGCACAAAAAATGATGGTCAGATTTTAATAAAACACCAAAAATAACCTATTATCATACCAAATGAACCAACTAAGCTACTCCCATACTAAAAGAACCAACCAAGCTAACCTAACAAAAAAGTGATTTGCCCCAAAGAAAAACATCAGAATCATATAAAAGAGCAAGAAAACTAGTGAAAAAAAAAATTTCATGTGAATAAAGGTGATCAGTGATTAACAAAATATTACTGATTTTTCTCGTAAATTAGGTAGGTATCTTTTGGTTAGGTTGGTTAGGTCAAGTTCTGGCAACACTGGAAAATATGGCTAACACCAGAAGCAGTTCTTCAATTTCATTCATTTTTCCAGTGGTTCTTTGGATGATAGTAAGTACTAAAAAGGATACAACAACTTTTTATTAACTATGAGTATTTATTAGTTTTCTCTATCTACAATCATAAATCACCTGTAGAGGGCAGAGTATGAAGGAGAAGGGATAAGGTGGGTAAAACATGGTGAAAAACTGATATGACACTAAAATAACATATCTTTGTATGCATAGAAATTATTTACCAAATGGGTCACTCGGCCTGAGTACTATCATGTCCACAAATACGTAAAATTACACCATGCTGGTTAGGTTAGGTTACGGTACCAGATATCAAAGTAAATACAGTACTTTCTGTTTAATATGGCAGGGGGTCTATCCCCCGGCAAGGAAGTTAATGTAAGGTTAGGTCGAATTCTTAGCTTGGTTAGGTCAGATTCTATTAGGTTTAGTTCACTGTTGTATGGTGTTTATGGCTAATATTGACAACTACACCGCTGACGTTTTATTTGTTTTGATGTTTATATTCATAGTATATTTTCATGTGAGTTCTAACATGCTAATCATTTTTGGGGGTTTGGTTAGTTCCGCTTAGTTTAGGTTAGGCTAGGTTACACTAGGTTAGTTTAGGTTGAACTTTTAAGTGTTGGCAACTAAAAGATATTAACCAAAGACTTTTTTGCACATTGAAACACAATGAAATTACGATATTTTTAAATTCGTTTTCTATGAAAAATCAATGGCTGTGTCGACGTCAATAATTAGGCACTATTGTTATTACTATCATCCAAAGAACATGGGGAAGAAATTAACGAAATATTGCACTCTGGTATTAGCCGTCTGCTTCAGGATTACCCAAGTTCCGGTACTAATTACCCAAATGAACCCAAATGTAGCCACAATGAAGTCAAATGATGGTCCTACAAGCGTAAATCGGGCTGTGAATCACTTCTCGATTAGTATTTGGTGTCAAAGTCACAAAAAATTGGTAAACTTAATTTAATCGGAGTTGAGTTAGGTTAGGTTAGGTACATGCACTCGATCTATTAACTCAGATTAAATTAAGTTTACCAATTTTTTGTGACTTCATGACACCAAATACTAGTTGAGAAGTGATTGGCAGTCCGATTTATTCTTGTAGGACCATCATTTGACTTCATTGCGGCTACATTTGGGTAATTAGTCGGACCCCCCCCAAGTTCTAATAGGTTTTGTGCATTCTCGTTTCCATGTATCTAATAAATTGTAATTAACATTTCCTAAGAGTTTCGTCCAATTCTATCAATTCCTGGTGTAAGTCTAAAAAGCATACCTAACCGACGAGAAAAATATCCAAAGTAAATTTTAAAGTTGTTGGACTAGTGTATTACTAATCTTGTTACACGCTTAAAGACCTTGCAGTAATAATTTTATAACACACTTTCAATTCATCCACCCCTTGCCCGCCTATAATATAAGCTAGGCAACTGCAGGCCTTTTACCGTAAACCAAATACTATGTTATTAATAAGTCTCATAACTCATACCTACAATTCCTCTATAACCACAGAAGATACGGTAATACGTAGACCTTTTACACACCGTCAGCGAGTACATCCACAATGTCAATTGACGCGATTCACGTGGTAAAATCCTCTATATTTCTTGAGTAAATTGTAAACATCTCTCAGTCTCAGATGACTGTCGCTGTGCGAGCTTAAGCTTCAATTGGCAATACTTCACAAAAATCGCCAATTACTCATTGAATTGTATACTGAGCTACTGTAATTGAATCTTATCGCTTAAAGTTTACAAGCACACTGTGTATGCAATGGCACACTATCTATGATGACAAAATAGCTGATATACTAAGGCTGTATCCACCTTTGGTATCCACATTTCGCATCTACTGTAGAATCTAATAAAAATTTCATGCACCGACTTAAAAAAAAATTGGACCAGAAATAATCTGTAACACTCTCAATGCCATAATATCATGAACATTGGGGTCCGAAAAACACCCTTTGTGTCCTCTACTCTCAAATCCTGTTTGCACTACCGCTCACAGGATGAGTATGGGGTGCACAATAAGAACAGAAGAAAATAAGGAGTCTGCAATAGGCCGGTTGGCCTGTGCATGGCAGCTCCTGTCGAGAGTTACTACCACTCTCTATCATCCATGAATCTATCTAGCCTCCTTTTGAAACTTTCCAGCGTTCCAGCACTTACTACAAAGTTGCTAAGCTTGTTCCACTCGTGCACCACCCTATTTGTGAACCAGTTTCTTCCTATCTCCCTCCTAAACCTAAACTTATCCAACTTAAATCCGTTGCTTCGAGTCCTATCCTGCTCGGATATTATAAGAACTTTATCTATATCCCCTTTATTGATTCCTTTCACCCACTTAAATACTTCTCTCATATCTCCCCGCGCTCTTCGTCTTTCTAGGGAATGTAAATTTAGTTTCTTTGACCTATCCTGATATGGAAGGTTTCTAAGTCCCGGAATCATTTTCGTCATTCTTCGCTGCACCGACTCTAGTGAATTGATATCCATTCTATAATAAGGGCACCAGAACTGAACCGCATAATCGAGGTGCGGCCTGACTAGCGCAAGATATAGTTGCAATAAGACCTCTGCACTCTTAATACTTACACTTCTAGATATAAAACCCAATACCCTGTTTGCCTTATTTCGAACATTAAAGCACTATTTTCTAGGCCGTAGGTCCGGGCTTACAAGTATCCCTAGGTCTCTTTCACAAGTCGACTTCTCTATGTTGATGTTGTTAAGAACATAAGAAAATAAGGAGTCTGCAATAGGCCGGTTGGCCTGTGCATGGCAGCTCCTGTCGAGAGTTACTACCACTCTCTATCATCCATGAATCTATCTAGCCTCCTTTTGAAACTTTCCAGAGTTCCCGCACTTACTACAAAGTTGCTAAGCGTGTTCCACTCGTCCACCATCCTATTTGTGAACCAGTTTCTTCCTATCTCCCTCCTAAACCTAAACTTATCCAACTTGAATCCGTTGCTCCGAGTCCTATCCTGCTCGGATATTATAAGAACTTTATCTATATCCCCTTTATTGATTCCTTTCACCCACTTAAATACTTCTATCATATCTCCCCGCATTCTTCGTCTTTCTAGGGAATGCAAGTTAAGTTTCTTTGACCTATCCTGATATGGAAGGTTTCTAAGTCCCGGAATCATTTTTGTCATTCGCTGCACCGACTCATTCTTCGCTGCATACATTGACAGTATTTGTTCTTCCAATATTAAGTACGCTGCACTTGCTGGTGATGAATTTCATTTGCCATTTTTCAGACCACCCCTGCAGTTTATTTAGATCCTCCTGTAATGCATTTGCATCCTGCCCTGAATTAATCTGCAGCCCTATTTTGGTGTCATCCGCAAACTTGCTTATGTCACTGCTGATCCCAGTATCTAGATCGTTTATGTAGAATTGTAGATTATGAACAAGAGTGGGCCTAGTACTGACCCCTGGGGAACCCCACTGGTTACACGGCCCCACTCAGATTTAACACCATCTACGCTGACCCTCTGCGTTCTATCGGTGAGCCATGATTTTATCCAATTTAAAACTTTACCCTCGATACCATGAGCCTTAATTTTTCTCAGAAGCCTCTGATGTGGTACTCTGTCAAATGCTTTGCTAAAGTCTAAGTAAATAACATCGTAATTTTCGTCATTATCTACTACCTCGAAGACTTTCCTAAAAAACGTTAGCAGATTTGTTAGACAAGACTTGACCAACACTGGAGCGGGTTCAGGTACATTCAGGAGCCGGTGCATGCCCAGTATTGCCAACAGTGCGTAATAGAGACGTGACCGATCGCCCAAGCGGCTAACGAGCCGATCAGTGGTGAAGAGGATAAAAGTAAAATTAAAAATTCAAATTCCGCCAACCTACACACACTACGTATCCACACACCCCACACATTCCAAACACTCTAAAGACACACGAGCAACAGCGTCTGCCCATGCAACCCACCGCCCCCCCCCCATCACTTATTATTATTATTTTTTTTTTTAATGGAGTAGCCTAGTGAAGCTTTTGCTAACCAGAAAAATAATGACAGTCGGAGGGTGTGACGTCACAGTATTGCGCCACTTTAGTGATGGGAATTCCGGCGCTATCATGGCGGTGATATTTCCTACTGCCTGCAGTCCCTGCTTCTAGTCCTTCGTGATGTTTGTTGACAATTTGCACACACACACATACATATATATATATATATATATATATATATATATATATATATATATATATATATATATATATATATATATATATATATATATATATATATCCACAATGAAAACGTGGATAAGATAAATCTTGATAACTGGATTGCATGGACAGAGAGAGGCTTAAATATACAGGGTGACCTTATTCAACATGAGGTCAGGTCATAATGATTTCATCCACTAATCCCCACACCTACACCTACACACACAGAGGAGCTTAAGAGAAGGGGGCGACGTGACTAATCAGGTCAGGTAAAATATAGGGGACCCACTAAATAACTATCCTGCATCTAGATCCAAGGTTTTTACAGCATTTATAACCTTGGGCCACTGACAAATAAATTTGTGTAGCAACTGACCTTAGTGATGGTCAGCTCAAAACTGATGTACATAAACCCCTGTAAAAAAAAATTATATATATATATATAAAATATATATATAAATAAATAAAAAAAAAAATAAATATATATATATATATATATATATATATATATATATATATATATATATATATATATATATTTATTTATTTATTTATTTATTTATTTATTATTATTTTTTTTTTTACGTGGATTAGCCCACCGGTTTATAGTTGTTCGTGGAGTGACTATCGCCCTTCTTGAAGATAGGACTCACATAAGCCATTTTCCATTCACTGGGGACCTTTCGTTCATCCAGGTATTTACGAAACAGGATCTCCAGAGGCTCGGCAAGCTCGTTGCTCAACTGGTTTAGCACTCTAGGATGCACCATGTCAGGACCGGGACTGTTATGGACATTTAGCTTTGACAGTTTATTTATAATATAATGTGGGTCAGTGCTGTGTCGAACCGTCTGTCCTCAAACGCAGGAAGGTTAATCGCATCCTCTCTTGCGAACACCGAGGAAAAGAAGCTGTTCAATGCCTCAGCTTTATCCTGGTCAGAATCTGCGTAACTACCATCTTCAAGCCTCAGGTCTGATACTCCTACTCGCGTTTTTAATTTCGACTTTGCATAGCGGTAAAACGCCTTTGGGTTTGACTTGACCTCGCATGCAACCAGCCTCTGGAACTCCTTTTCAGCCCTTCTACATTCTATCTTTGATTGGTTTCTGGCTCTTGCATCATCCTCCTGTCCTGCTCATCATTTGACCCAACCCACATCTTGAATTTTTGGGTTTTCTTCTTAACTCTGTCGACCGCCACATACACTACACTACACTACGCTACACCTGTCCTCACTCAAAAACTCCTGTTCGCTCCATAATCCAATCAACTAAAATCGCAACACCACGTATTCACCAACAAGCATTTAAGTATCTACACGAAAACTTTTGAAGTGCACCGAAAAGCATGATATATTTTTCACAACCCAAACTGGTTAGTCTGCGGTGAGTGGGCAGCTGGGATGACTCATGGCAACGTGACGTAATAACCTCCATGCGTCTTTTTTTTTCTTTTTTACCTAACAAGGGTAAATTCATTCTAATGAAAAAAACTGAGTACAGCAGTAGCAACAGGATTTGGGGAAGGTCGTCAATTGGTGTTATTAAAAACAGTGTGTGTGTGCACTTTCTACCCAGTCAAGATTTGGTAATGGTAATATTTCAGTCAGTGTACGCCGTGCAGAGTACAATATAAACTAGACACGTTGATATACACAGAGATTGTGAAATTATCAAGTCCACTTTGTATAGTGAGGGAGGGCATAGTTATAATCAATATAAGGATACAATAATTAGACAAAGGAAAACACTTGACGTTTCCACCCTATTTATCAACCTATATTTGGAGTTAGGTCATGGAGTTACTGGTTAGGCTTAATGACGGCCAGAATTAAGTGTTTGGAGTTTCTGGGAGTCTTTAATATGTCACTGCGGCATACTCGTAGTTCTGACACTGTCACTACTCGATACTTAATTAGACATGCAGACCCTAGGCTCCTGCCATTCATCTACCATGGAATGAAGAAAAAATAAGGGTAATGCCTGAGGTGGTGGCGAGGGGCCCGGGGACCGTTGGTGGTGGGCAGTGTTTACATGCGGACAGGAATGTGGACCACTGCAGGTATCGACACACCTCCCAAATTTATCAGTTTCTTGCGTCTCCTTTTCTCTATTCTTTCAATGTTTTTTTAAATTTTTATTAACTTACAGTCATGATACTAGAGATGTCCTTACCAAGATTTGCCATGTACTCTAGAATCTGAGAATTGAATGATAAATTTGTAAATTAGTGTTGTACTTTAAGAGTTGTCAAGGGAAATTAGTTTGGCCGAACGTATAGATAAGAAAGCGAGGAACGCGGAATGTTTTTTTCTTCAGAACCTTCTCAGCCGAAGTTATTCCCAGAAAGCGCCTTGGGGTAATATGCCCACACGGTAGAACAGTTCTCATGTAATATCATCGTCGTTATTGCGTTGCGCGTTCCCTTCTATAATATATAAGGATTGAACAATAAATCTGCATATTTTCTAGGTATCGTATTATGACGTTTTAGTTACTACGTACACCCTTCCCTGGCTTCCCGGGTTTATATGCAGGGCTCAGGTATTCTTACTTTATCCTCTTTGCCACTGTTCGACTTGTTAGCCGCTTGGGCGGTCAATCATCAAAGTTGTGCACCGTTGGAGAGCATTGACTGTATGCTGTGATAACCTAACCCTGCCCCCCCCCTTTCATTTAGCGTTATCGTGTTTAATCATCAGGTGAAAACTGTGAAATAAGCAGGTTCCCTAATCTTCATTAGCTCAGATGAAACAACATCGTAATAGAAAAGAATAGACAGTACTGGGAATAGTCATAGAGTAAAAGTAAAAATTTGTAGGAGAGTTAGTTGTGGTGGAGGAGCAAATAGTAAATCAAGAAGACATTCGATGTGATCGATGAAGGTCCGTCGCGTGACGTAGTAGTAATAGTAGTAGTGTAGTGGTAGTATCAATAGACATAGAAAACGAGTATTACGGGTGAGTGTTGCATATGAATGTGGTGGACATAAAATGTTGCACTTTTTTAACCCACCACCAACAAATGAAGTACAAACGTGCCTTATCATAATAGACCTACGAATGTAATATAATTTTCTCTTAAGTTTCAGAAATCTAATGAGTATTTACTAATAATTTCATTGTTTTTTTTACAAAAGAATGCATCACATTCTTCAATCCTAATATTTTCTCCACCATGGCTGTTGCCTTCCCACCCCTGGTGCATTTTTTTATGGACACCTAACAATGTGGGTAAGCTAGATATTCTAAGCCTGGACCATAAAGTTGATTTCAAGTTCTTAATCAGCAGTATTATTGCTCTTACGTGTGTTTTGCACAAAGCTGAATGATTTCATCACTCGCCAATCAGCTGCTGCGCCTGGCGAGCCACTCAATGAGGGCTGGGAGTTGGCCGGGTAGTGACGTCACACGGAGCCGAGTCCTGCCGAACCCCGGCTCGGAAACAGTCGTCAGTCAGTGGGCAGACAGACAGACACAGTCACACGAGATACCAAGAGTCGAGAAAGGAATCACAGCAACGCTCCCAGTCGTGTGACCTTCTCTATCAGCCTATGCGATGGCTCCTATAGAGAACAAAGATAGTCTGACTGTGGGCCTAAAAGGGAACTGTGATATAGACACAGATGAAGGTTTCCACTCGCCATCTGTGAGCGCACCAGGGCTGAGGTGTGAGGATCTGGCCAGCCGAGCAGGAACAGAGACGGAAGTGGGTGATAGTACTAGTAGTTGTAGTACAAGTGACAATGACAGCCAGCCTGAAGCGGGCGCCCATGCGGTCTCCGATGTTGAAAATGACGAGACCCGGCCTGAAAGATGTAGCCAGAGTGATAATGAAAGTTCAAACCGAGAGAGAGACCAAATGGAATACCAGGCAGAGACCCTCGCGGAGTTCATCGTATATACCATAATTGGAAAAAAGAATGGCAGAACTGACGATAAAGTAGAACAGACGTTGTTGAGGTGTGTGAGAACGATGATGCAGAAACATGAAATACTGCTGAAAGGAATGATGAGAAGATTAGACATAACTATGGAAACTGGATACGTTTCCTTTGTTGCTGTGGCCAACGAACTCTTTGAGGGGGACAGACAGGTTATCACCTGGGGAAGGATAGTGGCCCTCTACGCCTTTGGTGGACAGTTGGCCTTGTACTGTAAAGAAAAAAATATGGAAGATTTCTGTGTCAAGATAGCCATGTTTATGGGAAAGTATGCCAGCAATGTTGTAGTGCCGTATGTAAGGAGCGTTGGTGGATGGGTAAGTTCATATTTATTCTTATTAAGTTTACGGAATAGTGAATATTGAAGTTAAATGACTAATGGCTTAACAGTGGTAAATTTTCATTTGAATTATATATTGATTAATTTTAAGTATTAAAAGTAAATGGGCGGTGGCACAAGGAAAGATTGTAGGAGTTTATTTTGAAAATGCTAAGTAGGTCATGGCTTCTACCCCTTTGACAAAATTCACAGAAACCAATCTTCAATTATTTGATTTTGGTAATATTTATAAATGCTATACTAAGTGAAAGGTGTAAGAGATGGTTCACACCTGAACATTTTTATATTTCGTTCATATTTTCACAGTTGTGTTTTGGATGATATTAATTCATAAATCTATACAAATTTTTAATTTAATTATGGTAAATTTGCCAATTTTTTTTAGTTATCTGGGGTTTGGGTGGGGCGTTTTCCGATACAAATCATGCCCAAGCCAATATAAAAAATACAAAAAACAAAAACCGAACCGTCACCATATGGAATCACTTATTTCTTACCTTATTGGTCTTGATATTTACATTCGTTCTTACACTTAAAACACTTTACTGAGGTCGGGAGAACACCATGAGATCTAAAAATTTATATAGCTTGTTCTTTTTTCCCCCAAAACGTGCAATCAACTCCATATCAGCAGTGACATAAGCAAGTTTGCAGATGACACCAAAATAGGGCGGCAGATTAATTCAGGGCAGGATGCAAATGCATTACAGGAGGATCTAAATAAACTGCAGGGGTGGTCTGAAAAATGGCAAATGAAATTCAACACCAGCAAGTGTAGCGTACTTAATATTGGAAGAACAAATACTGACAATGTATACAGCCTTAACATCAACCTAGAGAAGTCGGCTTGTGAAAGAGACCTAGGGGTACTTGTAAGCCCGGACTTACGGCCTAGAAAACAGTGCTTTAATGTTCGAAATAAGGCAAACAGAGTATTGGGTTTTATATCTAGAAGTGTAAGTAACAAGAGTGCAGAGGTCTTATTGCAACTATATCTTGCGCTAGTCAGGCCGCACCTCGATTGCGGTTCAGTTCTGGTGCCCTTATTATAGAATGGATATCAATTCACTAGAGTCGGTGCATCGAAGAATGATGAAAATGATTCCGGGACTTAGAAACCTTCCATATCAGGATAGGTTAAAGAAACTAAACTTTCATTCCCTTGAAAGACAAAGAGTGCGGGGAGATATGATAGAAGTATTCAAGTGGGTGAAAGGAATCAATATAGGTGATATAGATAAAGTTCTTATAATATCCGAGCAGGATCGGACTCGGAACAATGGATTTAAGTTGGATAAGTTTAGGTTTAGGAGGGAGATAGGAAGGAACTGGTTTACAAATAGGGTGGTGGACGAGTGGAACAAGCTTAGCAACTTTGTAGTAAGTGCTGGAACGCTGGAAAGTTTCAAAAGGAGGCTGGATAGATTCATGGATGATAGAGTGGTAGTAACTCTCGACAGGAGCTGCCATGCACAGGCCAACCGGCCTATTGCAGACTCCATATTTTCTTATGTTCTGTTCTTATATAATTGAAGTGACACCCATCACAGACTTCCATGGTCGGAAATGAATTTGAATTTCAAAATATGAGACCTAAAATCACAATCGATTCTGATTGGGCAAAAAATACCACAAATTAAACCACAATACATTTTAATTGGTGACCCCCCCCCCCCTCTAAAAAAAGATTTTGATTAGCCATATGACGTGTACGGGAACACATGCGCATGGCGATTTATGAAGGAAACACGCTTAGTGTGAGGTCGGGTAGGTGATAATGGCGGAATATTAATGGAAGAAAATAGAGAAAGATTTGGCATGCGCTATCTCCGTTATTATACGTTTGCAAGGGTAATGTAATAGAAGAAAATTATCTTAAAATTAGACGTCTTTTTTCGAATATGATAATAGATTTGGGGTAGGAAAGTTGTGTGCACTAATACCTTAATTATAAGTAATTTTTTAAATAAAATATATCCTTTCTTTATCTACAACCATAAATCACCTGTAGTAGGCAGGGCATGAAGAATGAGAAAATTGCAGGGTAAAGTCACGGCAAAAAAAAAAAATCATATGACACTAAATTTGTACACAAAGAATTTTACTATTTACCGTAAATATACCGCTGACAATTCTGGCCTGTCGTTGAGTGTTGTCCTCAGATCGTCAACAAATAAACTCCGATTTCAGTCTTGCTTAAATTGTCATTTAACGAAAGAGCCTCATAGTGAGGGTTGTACTACCTTAAATATAGGCTTGAATGTCTTTATATTTTTAAGCCTTCACTATCCCATATATTTTGTTCTTTCTGTGCAATAGGGTCTTAAACCTATTCAATTTATAAATAATGATCATATTGTTGGAAACGAGACCCATATTATAGGTTTTGATTTATTTCTAATACCTTACAAGTAGCATTGGTTAACAAGTGCATTGTATGTTTGTATACTTATTGTTCTTCGTGTTTTGTAACCTATCACAAGTTTTCTGTGCTTGTTGAGGATGCAGACTCTCTTTTAGGAGTTCGTATGGCAACATCGACTAGTTGGCAAGATGTGCATATTTTTAAAATGTAGCAGAGAATTGACAGTGAAGAAGATATCTGTGTTTCAATGTAACAACCGATTGTACTCTCATGTCCATAAAAAACGTAGAATTAACTCATTACGCATCAAGATGGTTGCTTCCGTTGGTACGAGATGTCAAAGTAAATTCTTTCTGCTTAATATGCCAGGGGTCCATGCTTCCCGGCTCGGAAGTTAGGTAAGGTTAGGATTAGGAAGGTCCTATTAGGTTATGTGCATTGTCATATAAATTTTAGTACTTACTGTCATCCAACGAACATGTGGAAAAAATGAATGAACGAAAGCGAGCAACTCCTGGTGTTAGCCGTCTGCTCCACCTTTACCTATTCTTGTCATTGTGGAACTGAACCCGATTTTCCCCATACTGTATGTTATTCGAGATATGAAAATTCACCTAATGAATGGTTATCAAGGAGCCCATCCCATTTATAAAATGAGCTCTCCAGATTTTCGTGTCAAATAATGCACATGGTATACATAAATGGTCAAATGTAAATAATGCTTGTAGTAAGAAAGTAAAAAAAAATCTTTTTATCATTACAAAAATTTTATAAACTTGGTAATTCATGTGTGTGGAGGTATGAATTGAAGTGCTTGGCAATGTAAACATTAAAGATGGTGTTGCCAAGAGGTAGCGTGTAGCTGTGCTTCTTGAATGGTCTGAAAAATGGCAGATGAAATTTAATGTGGACAAAAGTAAAGTACACTGTACTTAGTCTAGGAGATGTAAACAGAGAAACCAGATACCAGATGAACAATGATGTTATAGAGAAATCCAACTGAGAAAGATTTAGGAGTACAGTACTCCCTCTTTATCGACGGGGGTTACGTTCTGTAGACGGCCGTCGATACCGTGATGGTTACGTAATTTTTCTAACTATTATTAGCATATGTTGAATAAATGTACCTTTAAGCATTAATGCATTTCCTTTACACATAACCTTAAATAATAGTGTATAAATAATAATATAATAAGTGGACAAAAATACTAGCAAACTTACGATTTCATTTATTGAAGTGAACATCGGTCCTTACAGTAAACAATACAGTGTACAGTATATACAAGTGTGATGATTGAGGCTTATTAAAATCCGTCGATAATCGAAACCGTCGATAAAAAATCCGTCGATAAAGAGGGAGTACTGTACTTATAAGTAGGAATCTTAAACAAAGTGAACAAAGTGTATTTGCTCGAAACAAGGCTAACAAAGTACTTGGGTTCATACAAAGGAGTGTTAGTTACAAGATTAGCGAGGTCATCCTAAAACTATATCGTGTGCTTGTGAGACCTCACTTGGATTACGCGGTTCAGTTCTGGTCACTACTACAGAATAGGTATAGAATCCCTAGAAAGAATTCGGAGGAAATTGACAAGACTTATCCCGGGCATTAAGAACCTTGAGTACAGAGGCAGGTTAAAGCATCTTAATTTGCCCTCCTTTGAGAGACGTAGAGTGAGGGGTGATATGATTGAGGAGTATAAATGGAAGTCGGGGCTGAACAAGGTGATATAACAAAGGTACTCAAACTATCCAACCAGTAGCGAACTCGTAACAATGGTTTTAAATTAGGCAAATTTAGATTAAGGCGTGAAATAGGTAAACATTGGTTTGGAAATAGACTAGTGGATGAGTGGAACAAGTTACCAAACATCATCATTAACTCAAATATGCTGGATATATGAGCAATAGGGGTTTGGTGTAATGGGATTGCGCAGTATAGGTCAATAGGCCTGCTGCAGTTTCCTCCATTCTTATGTTCTTATATAGAGATCACAAGTACATACTGTATATTTTATTTCAAATTTCAAATACACCACACTTTTTGGGGTTTTCACGAGGTCAGAAAGTATTAATCTTTGGAAAAAATTCCTTGAGTTCTCAGTTAACATGTGATACACTCTTCCCTTATTACCCTTCAAAGCTCTTATCGTAAATTTTAATGATTAATCTTATAGAGCTATTGGACAGCAAATCCTTTAGAGGGCAGGGGTTTCTCTCAGCTGAATAAAATCATTGGTCATTAGCCAGAAGAAAATACCAATGAGCACCATTGTCCTCTAAAGGGTTTAGGTACTTATCGCAGGAGGTGGTGTTAAGTGATACACTAGAAAAAGTTAATGTTACCTTTAAAATGTGTAAAGTTTGCATTTGTCACCCACAACATAGTGTCAAAGTGAGTTGTGACAGTGGCATCTCAGTATTTATGAGAAAAAACCAGGGACAAAAACTTTAGTACAGAAAGTGCCATTTCTCCAGCCAATTTGCTTTAATCTTGAAATAAGAAATGATCTTATATAGGGATATTTCTTTGGGTGGCTGGATAACCTGAGCAACTGTTCTTAAATATTACTTTAGGAAACTTGTACTGTAATAATTAAATTACTATTCAGGTCTGATGAATGTTTTTTTTTTCCTGGGCACTCGTTAATATTTCAATAAATTCAAAGTAAACAATAAAATATATAAATACCAGTATATATATATAAAAACAAGCCAACTTAAATTAACATTGAAAATGGTTAAAATAAGCACAAAATTACATACAGTACATACTAAAAATATCTGACTGGTAGCACTGGTGTTTACACTCATGAGTTGTTATCTAATGTTTGAAGACAAATTGGGTTTGATTCCCTGAAAAAGTATGCTAAAAACAGTAAATTGTTTGTTTAACAAAGTTTTAATTTGGTAAAAAAGGTAGGTTACTTGAGGTTTCTAGGTTTTGTTGCATTTTTTTTACAGTACAGTATACTACAGTAATATTGAACAATATTACTATAGTTCAGTTAATAAGTTACTGTACATAAATAGTACAGTAATCATTTATCTTCTTTGCTTTCTGTATCTAAGGCATGTAGCACTTAATGTACAGTAACAGAATAAAAGTTGGTTACTGTTCAGTTATAAACAAGCCTCTTAGAACCTAACCAGCAGTACTGCACTGTATATGAACATTGCCTCAGATTTATGAACTATTTAATATTTATATAGTGAAAACTAAATATCAATGAAGCAGACAGGAAAAACTATTTCTGTGAATATTAGTACATTAAATACTGTATGTGGTATTTACCAGTCAATATTCTGTTACCAATATAAAACAATGTTAGTGTTCCAATGCATAGTACTGTAGTTGGTGACCATTTCAGTCTACATTGGCTAAAGCTCACTAGTCGAGTTATCAGAGATGAAATATGCTGTTATATATATTTTTGCTTGGTACATGTGCCTGTACTGTAGCTATAGTATACAGTACTGTATACTAATCACCAGTAACCAAGATAGTCACACTTACTAATAAAAAACCCTAAAATTTCCTAAGTCCGAGTGCTTATTGCACAGTAGAGAGTGACTGATATTGTTTGCATTGGCTAATGATTGCAGGATGATGGTACAGTAATTACAGCACTTGCTGAGTTTTTGGAGAAAACACTAAAATTAATTTAATTTAACTATCTGCCTTAAACCCTTTGGCTGTGAGTGGTTACCCTAAGCTGAATAAAATCGTCTGGCGGTAATCAGAATAAAATGGCAAGTGTGCGAAATGCAGCAGAAGGGTTAAGCAGCAATAGTCTTCATGTTATTTGATATGATATTTAATTAATTGAGGTTTTGCGAGGCATTTCTGAACCTAGCCTCTCATAATTACATTGTTATTATGGAGAATTAGATTTTGGGTCCTTTGGACCATAACCCGGGTGTTCCTGAATTACGATAGAGGTGTTGTAGATTAAGGAATGAATATTTGAAAGTGCGATTATTTAGAAATTATATTGAACTTTGCCGTTTTGGTTCTCATTGTTCAATAATTTCTATATTATTTAAGTTCAAAGATTTTGTGAGCTATTTTCAACCAATTTTTTTTTCTCCACCATCTTTTGTTATATTTGTTAACATATGGCTCTTCAAACAAGCAAAATTTAAAATAACCTTTATGGGCTATTTTGTAAAGTAACCAAGATTTCTGCAATGCAATTAACTTTTGTAAATACAGCTAATTAAACAAATCATTTTTAGTAATATCCTTTTCTTATCCCATACAGAAAAAAATTTGTGAGGAGTTTCCTGTTGAAGATGATTTAGAAAACAAGGCATGGCGATACCTTACATGGACAGCAATTGGGTTGGGACTGGCAGCTACAGCATCATTTTTCACCTCGCACTGATTGGTACTTTTACACTGCATTACCATTATATTGTGTCATGCAACATTAAAACAAATGTTTCATCAACTAGCATGTTTATGCTTTACCTGTCATACCACAACTCATGTGCCAACTGATATGCCTTTCAGAGTAGCTCATAGCACCTCTATTATGTAAAATACTCTCATTTTTATTGTCTGAATTTGACAGTTTGTATCAATTTATTATTTCTGTTTTGAACCGGTACTCCGTAGGTTATATCAGTGTACAATTTGTATTACCTGTATTTTGAGTTGTAATGCCTTATATCTGTTGACCTACATTTGAATGAAAGGATTTGTTGGGTAATGGTCAGAATACATAGTTTTGAAGTGGGTAAAGTAGTATCTTTGTGGTCTGTGACACAATATAATAATGTATTACTTATAATACATTACTGTACACGTCTTTCACAATGAAGATTTTTATGATCTTCACTACTAGAGGTCTTTCTATGATATATTTTGATACAGGTAATAGGAATACAAGTTTTCATTGGTTTCATTTTGCATCAGTTGGTTATAACAAACTTTTCATGCAAAATTCTGTATCTACAGTCAGGTTTAAAAGTTTGTGTGATGCAGTTTGACCCCAAATGAGATAAAACACTAAGCATGCACCAGATGACAGTCAAGGTATGTAAGTTCAGAGACTCATTCCTGTGACACCTTTTCACTGCTTTAGGCAAACTTTTGCCCTGACAGTACATGATATAAATAACATTATATTTTTATTTTCCACCTTTTTGCTCTTCGTAAAATATCTATGGTTAGTCATTCCAAATAAAATATTTAGATTTCCATAAACATTACTATATAAGGAGCTACATTGTTAAATAAATTATAACTTGTGTGGAACATCAAATTATGACCCTTTATGTGTGTACAGGAGTTTGGGATACCTCGCAGATATTTTTCATCATGTTGTACTTGTAAGGTTGGTTGAGGATCTGATGATTATCTTTTGGAATGTTACATTGTCTTTTTGGTACATTACAGTATTCCTTTATTTTAACTTTGTCCCATGTGAAATTGTAAGACAATAGTTATGCAGTTAAATTAATGTAATACTGTAACCCAAATTCTCCAGTCTCTGAAGGAGCAAATATATTTCAGCAACATGTAATTCACTATTCCATATAAGCTTCCTTTTTAGGCTAAGTGTGTACTTCAGAAAGTCCTTACTTATTGAAAGAAATTGCATTTTGAATATATATATATATATATATATATCCTGTACTTTCAATTTTCAATTCCTATTGCAAGTATAATGTACAGTCACCTCCAGGTGTGTTGTTACCCCCTTTTGTGCCTCCCTTACTCATGTGGCAATGTCACACTAATTTTGGTTAGGGAACTGATTGATACCCGGTAGGGCTGTTTCCTAGAAACAGCTCTACCAGTAATTTTCCTAGACACACAAGTAGTCTAAGATGTCACATGAACAAGGGAGGCACTATAGGGGGGTAACAACACACCTGGAGGCAAATGTTCCAAAATAGCAACTGAAGCTTATTATTGTACCAAAATTTTCATTGGAAGTAAATTTCATGTAATTTGCTTCAGTTCTAGTTAGTACAAAGCTCGTACAGTTCAATGTACAGATACACATATATGTCATGATGTTTGTGTGAAATCTATAAGTTGCTGATGATTGTAATTTAGCAGAAAGCTACACTCTTTGGGGTAGAGAATACTTCATCTGCTTAACCCTTTAAGACTGGGGTCCGTTGTACCATATACACTCCAATTATACAAACAAAAGTATTGGTATATGATACGACCCCTAGAGTGAAAAGATTCTTCCATTATCAATAAGTAATTTTCTGCCTTTCTTTTGTTTTCTCTCCTCCCAAATGGTTGATCTACTGTAGTACTCCAAAGAAATATTTGTTTCCTAACCTGCTGTCCAGGGGCATATAAACCCATAATTTAGACTTGTTTACTTACCAGCAACAAAGTTTTATTGTTAGTGTCATTGTAAATAGTGCATCAAAACCACTGAAGAGTGAGGGGAAACGATTCTCTACACATTTCAATTTCATATAAAAATGATACTGCAATTGTTCGGGTGATCATCAGATTCAAGTGAAATTTGTAGCAAGAAATCCCAATCTCTTATACAGGCACAAAAGGTTGTAGATGCACTTTTGTAATTAATTATAAAATGTAAAAAAAAAACTAAATAAAATATATATATATCCTTTGTCGATATTGTATAGTTAGAAAGCCATCACTTTCTACGGCATAGCAGTATATATCTAGTCAAATACCTGTCTTTTGAAACTAATGACATGATTATTTGTCATATCTGATTGAATCTTGTGATTTAACTAATTTCATGACCTTTTCATACTCATTCTATTGCTATATGTAAAATGCAATTGTCAAATTATTTTTTTATGATGTAATGAGTTATTTACCTTTAATATAAAGACAAAGTTAAGTTTGAGTTGATCTTCTGATCTTGCTCATTACTATTGGTTTTGATTTTAATAAAACTGATGAGGTTACTATTTGCTTTATTTTTCATGGTGATAGTGTAACATTAAAATAACATTATTTTTTTTGGCAGAGGTTTTATAAATATTGTATACATTTAAATAAAGGCAAAAATATGATACATTTTTTCCCTTTCCTCAAGCAATTAAGGTGTTTCACCGAGCAGACTGGAATTTTAAATTGGACCTGTAATGAATAAATTCATGAGTTACCTTTCTGTTTGCCTGAAAAGAGTAATAAATAAGTGATTCTAACACTTAGTCATGATGAAATACTGAGAAACATTTATATTACTGAAGCAAGGTAACTATGGGTGTTTATAGGAATTTATTGTAAATGTGATATACAGTAATTTTTTAACTTGGTTTAGTGCACCATGGTGTCTTAATATACTCACTGAAAAAATATAATGTTCTCCAGTAAGATCTCACTTCTCTCATAACTGATTAACAAGATTTTGGCTTAATTATTTTCCTGTCTTTATTGTCATCAACATTTTATGGCTACTTTCCACTCCTATGTGGGTTTTTACTTTACAAGAAACTTTCAATTCAAGAGCCTCTAAAATAATAAATAACAGTTCTTTGGAGATCAGCCAGGTAAAGTTACCTGCAAGACTCCTTGTACACTTGGTAAAAAACTACCGTTACAATTCATGTGCGAAACAAACTGACACTACAAACAAAGTGTTTCAAAAGAGGCACCTGAGGCATTCATCGCATTGGTAGCCCTGCGCATGTATGGGTTCGGCCACACGTGCTCGAATCAAGTGATCGGCACTCTGAAACGAAACCCAATACTAAGCTTTCCGGAATTATCGACCGTATGGTAAACATCGTTGGGCCAGGTTCCATTATGATGGCATGCGAAACTGTGGAACTATTCAGATGTTTCAGAACAGCATGGTATATTTTCCAATACGAATAAAGAATGACAATGTGGCATTAGCCCAAAGTGAAGTAGAAATACAGATTCGAAATTCAGTTTCAAAATAATCTTATACCTTTACTATATCCACCAATTCTGCCAAACATATAATGTATTCCTATATGGCAACTCATCCACTTCCATGGTTACTGTGGTTCACAGTGTGTGGAACATTTAATATAAGATACAGTTTAACTTATCTCTATATACAGTGGTCCCTCGGTTAATGAACATAATTCGTTCCAGAAGATCGTTCGTTAACCGAAAATTTCGTAAACCGAATCCATTGTTTCAATGGGATATTGGGTAATTGGTTCCAGCTCACAGAAAAGTACATACAAAGTATAAACAAAATGCCGTAAAGAACACTTACTTTGAGGTGTGTATGTAGAAGGTTCCTGGTTGATGATCATGTTGGGAATTAGAAAAGGGGGTGGAGAAGGGAGAAGAGAAGTGGGAATGGAGGAGAAATCACCTTTCAGGGGACCCATGCTTGATGCCGTCATTTCACCAATAAAATTTTAAGTTCACTTGGTGTAATTCAAGATTATTTTATTTAAATCAACACTGCACTGCACGATATATTATCAATATGTTAACTAAATTTCAGAATGACCAATAATTTTAATGTAAAAATAATAAAGAGCTCAACGTTCTTGATATTTACTCCACTGGAAACGAATGTAAACATAGAACAGATTACTGAATTGGCAGACTAGCCCATCAGCTGATGCTCACAACAAAACGTGTTTGTCGTAAGGATTTTGTTAATCGAAGTTTTGTTCGTTAACCGAATTGAAGATCCTTATGGGAGGTAATTCGTTAATCGAACCCTTCGTTAACCGAGGGACCACTGTACTGACATTCTCCAGTAAATTGTAACAAAGTAATTCAATACAGTATTGTCAATGAAATAGCTAATTTCGGCCTGCCAAAAGTAAGTAAGAAATGTCTCACATTCAGGACTACCAACCCTCGCAAGACAACAGGAATGTTCAGTTGGAAAATCATTGGACCCCACCCGTACGGTAGTTTTTTTACGGAGTGTACCAGTGCCACATGTGAGCAAATAGGAAAGGTCATGTGTTTTTCTGAATTACAAACTACGTAACAGTGAATCACTGACAAAAGTTACAGGGATATACAGGCTGTATTCCCTAATTTAACAATTGCACAAAAACAAACCTACATATAAGTGAAACAAAGCTACATGAAACAAGACAATAATTTTTTTTCATTAAAGAAAATAAAGCTCTTAATCACTTGCCTCATTTCCTTTTTTTAGGTCCACCCTTCTTGAATGGTTTGGCAAGTTTAGCTAATGGTATCTTGAGTACATAGGAGTTCTTTGCAGTTACATAAGTTGCTCCAACTACCTTCATCAGAGTATTAAGCCTAGAAATTAAATAATTAAATTAGAAAAATTATATGACAAGTAAATTCTGGCTACATTGTGTAATAGGAATAAAATGAAAGTGTATGCATGAGAAGATTAAATACTATATAGAGATTGACTGACTTCTGGAATGTAACCCCAATTACACCACGGTAAAAAATGTTCACTTAACAATTGGTTTTTCAGGAATACAACCCGATTGTATACTGTATTGAGGATTTCCTGTACCACTTACGTTGGAGTACAATGTACTGTGTATTTTAGAGTATTGTACAGTGCCATGTGTTTTGGAGTAGAGTACTGTGTTATAAAGTACCATGTGTGTTGGTGTACTGTATGTGTTATAAAGTACCATGTGTGTTGGTGTACTGTGTATGTGGGTGTACTGTGTGTGTTGGTGTACTGTGTATGTGGGTGTACTGTGTGTGTTGGTGTACTGTGTGTGTGGGTGTACTGTGTGTGGGGTGCACTGTGTGTGTGTGGGTGTACTGTGATGTGGGGTGTACTGTGTGTGTGGGTGTACTGTATGTGGGTGCACTGTGTGTTGGGTGTACTGTGGCGTGGGGTGCACTTGTGTATGTGGGCACTGTGTGTTGGTGTACTGTGTATGTGGGTGTACTGTGTGTGTTGTGCCTGTGTATGTGTGCACTGTGTGTGTGTGGTGTACTGTGTATGTGGGTGTACTTGTGTGTTGTGTGCTGTGTATGTGGGTGCACTTGCAGTGTTAGTGTATTGTATGTGGGTGTGCTGTGTGTTGTGTAATTGTGTGTGTTGGTGCACTGTGTATGTGGGATTTATGTGTGTTGGGACTGTATGTGGGCACAATGTACCATGTATGTGGGTGTACTGTGTGTGTGTTGGTGTACTGTGTATGTGGGTGTGCTATGTGTGGGTGTTCTGTGTATGTGGGTGTACTGTATGTGGGTGCACTGTGTATGTGCACTATGTGTTGGTGTACTGTGTGGGTGCACCTGTGTGTTGGTGTACTGTGTATGTGGGACTTGTGTGTTGCACTGTGTGTGTGGGTGTACCTGTGTGTTGGTGTACTGTGTGGGGTGTACTATGTGTGTTGTTAGTGTACTGTATGTTGGTGTACTATGGTGTTGGTGTATTGTGTATGTGGGTGTGTGCTGGTGTGTTGGTGCACTGTGCATGTGCACTGTGTGTGTTGTGTACCTGTGTGTTGGTGCATTGTGTGTTGTGTACTGTGTGTGTGGGTGTGCTGTGTGTTGGTGCACAAGTGTTGGTGTAATTGTGTGTGTTGGTGTACTTGTGTGTTGGTGTATTGTGTATGTGTGTGCTGTGTGTTGGTGTACTGTGTGTGTTGGTGTACTGTGTATGTTGGTACTATGTGTGTTGGTGTACTGTGTGTGTTAGTGTATTGTGTATGTGGGTGTGCTGTGTGTTGTGTACTGTGTGATGTTGGTGTACTGTGTGTGTTGGTGTACTGTGTATGTGGGTGTACTCTGTGTGTCTGTGTATGTGTGTACTGTGTGTTGGTACTGTGTGTGTTGGTGTACTGTGTGTTGGGTGTACTGTGTATGTGTGTACTTTGCAGGGTGTACTTGTTGCACTGTGTATGTGGGTGTGGTGGACTGTGTGTTGGTGTACTGTGTATGTGGGTGTACTGTGTGTGGGTACTATGTGTACTGTGTGTGGGGTGTACTTGTGTGTTGGTGTACTGTGGGTGTGGGTGTACTTGTGTGTTGTAATGTATGTGGGTACTATGGTGTACTATGTGTGTTGGTGTACTGTGGGTGTGGGTGTACTCTGTGTGTGGGTGTACTCTGTGTGTTGGTGTACTGTGTATGTGGGTGTACTATGTGTGTTGGTGTACTGTGGGTGTGTGCTGAAGTAGTTTGTGTGTTCATAACTTATTAACTAATTTACAGTATTTGTAAATTTTCTTACGAGTTGGTTAGGTACAAAAAGTTTTATGTGGAAAAAGTGTCACAGTACTGGAATTATGCTACAGTTAGTACAGTATGCTTATCTATCTACAGTAGCCTGCAGGTCCAGTGTAAAAATTTCTACTGCACTAACATATAAAGGATTAGAATCAAAACCTTGGAAAAATATGGAGACCACATCGCAAATGAGATGTAACTCAATTTCCATATTTATAATGGTTTTCAGCATTGATAGTAATTTTTATTAACTGTACAAGGAAATTAAATTAGTTGAGTGGAGTCTTGATAAATTGCAGGTCAGGTACTGGAAGACACCGTGAATTAGTTTGACTGATTTAAATGGCAATACTGTAGTTAGTTTGGTTCAGAGGCCAAAAAATACTCATAAACTGTTCCAAAACTTCTTTAACAGTAAACATCATACACAATATTGTACATTAAAAAACAAAAAATGTATACAGTATAGTATAGTCTCGATTTACGCGGATTTCCTTTACGCGGCACCTGGCCAGACCGGCAATTATTAGTTATGCGGTACATTCCATCATTTATGGAAGCGGCGCGAGACAAGAGGCGCACAAGGTCGACCTCAGTCAACAAAAACATTACTGAGTTTTTCACCCGCCACCCGCCACAGCCAGCCCAAGTCAGTGATAGTGAGGATATGGACTTTCAGGGGTTTGACAAAGAGGCCCTGCAAGCCCTGTGTGGAGAGTGACAGGTGATACAGTGATACAGGTGAGGGCCAATAATCTGCCCTGCCTCAGAACCAGCCCCCATCCCCGTGCCCAGCCATCTCTTCTTCTAATGTAAGTGTTAAAAAACCTAATATTATTGATATTTCTCTTAAATATTAATTGTGTGTGCATACCATCATAAAATTAAGACGTTATTTTTACTACAACGACGTATTGTGTCGGAAAAGGGTAGTCTGGGGTCGGCCCAGTCTCTATTTCAATTAATCCCATATGTTCTGTTATTTCGTTTACGTGTTTCTCCACGCGACCTCCATGGGTTTAATTGACCGCATAAACCGGAGACTATACTGTATACATACTGTACAAAAAGTGTTTCTACATTACATAAACAGCTCCCTCCCATATCATAATTTCATGTGGGTAACACTAATACTCCAACATGGAAATAGCTAGATGCCATGCTGGCTGTAACTACACTATGTCGACAAAGAACCAGGAATTTAATACTGTATCAGACAAACTCATCTGGGGTTGAAAGGGGATTTTTTCCTGAAAAGTGATTACTTTATGAAAATGTTTCATTAACTTGCTACCAAATGAACCTAAAAAAATGGGAATTATGTTAAAATTGCATATTATTGTAGTAAGGAGGTCGGACATGGAGGGGTGTTGAGCGCTGGGAAAGGTGAGAAATGCTCAGTCCACCAGCCAACCACCATACCTCCCACACAATTCACTCCCCACTTTTCATTTCTTATTTAATAGTTTAATATTATATTTTATGACATTATATTCAAGCATTGAAATTATATTTCTATAACTTTTATGGTTTCTTATGTAAATCAACACAGCGGTAGCTCCTCCAGGCGTAATTATGAACATTTGAGGGCAAAATTTTAAAGAGGTGGCTAGTAAATTTAAGAATGCAAATTTGTATTTTGTGAACATGTTCTTCATTTAATTAAAATAAATAGTAATTCCATCAATTCCAATCCAAAGTAAGCTGCTTCAGTCAGTTTAATTTAAAATATAGTACAGTGCAGTACAGTACATTACTTCATTCCGTTAGTCCTCCAATCTCAATATAATTTTCCCAATTCCTTACTGCTTTCAACAGAATTTGCTAACCATTTCTGTCTTTTCAGTTATTTACATTCCGGTGTTTTTCATTGTTTTTAACCAGGTATGATGCAGTCCACTTCTTTTGGTTTCCACCATCTTACAGCCTCCTTGTCAATTCTTTCATTTTCCATACAAAGCACATGACCCATCCATCTCCAATTATCTCTCATTAAGTTTTCATCTCTGTAAGGTATGCTGGTAATGTCTCTAATAACATCATTCCATAACCAGTCTTGCCATTTAACTCCAAGATTTCTCGTGAGAGCTTTGTTTTTAAACACACGGAATCATCTGAAGACAGTCTCATTGTAAAACCATGACTCTTTCCTGTAAATGAGTACAGGGTATGTAAAGTTTTAACCAGAGCCATATACAATCAAAATTTCATCTGTATGAAGACTTCCATACTGAAGTTAGCATATAGTTTGGTTTATCTTCTGCAGTCTCTGAGAATTTTACAACTAAGGGTTCAGAATTTCATACAACTGTTCTAAGATATTTAAACTTGTCAGTATCCTTGGTCCTGTGCCAGTTCAGAAGGAAATGCACTTACTAAGCCTGTTCACTTCACAGGACCTAGGTTTTCTGAATGTTTACATTCAGTCCAACCTTCCTTCCATTTACTCCCAGCTTTCTGTTAGTTCCTGCATCTTTTGAATATTCTTGCTCATGAGTAGAATATCATCTGCCTAGTACAAGTCTGTAAGGTGTTTACTGTAAACCGAATCAATTCCCTCATGTTTATCTCTTAATGGTTTCTCTTAATTCATGAGGACAGTGAACTATGCTTTCCACCTTGAATTCTGGTGAAAGCTGACCACCCACAATAACTTGATATTGATTTTATTTCTGTGCATCTCTAATCCCCCACAAAGTAAAGCAATGCACATACAAATGCCTTTTCAAACTCTACAAAATTTATGAGTACTGGTATGCGATGTTCACAATTTGTTGGATTATGTGTCTTAGCCGAAATTTTGATTGCTAAAACCATGGGATTTTCTAAAGAGAGCTTATTCATCATGTAGTTTCTCCTATTAAATAATAGGAGGCTAAAGTAATTGGGTATAATCCCATTCAAGGTGAAGCTCCTCCAGTTTCTACAGTCTCTTAAATCCTCCTTTTTGGGGGACCTTAACAATTACTCCCAATTCTGTTTCTTCTCAGTGTTCCAGGTTTTGTTAGATGAATCCAACAGAGCTCTAGCTGTAATATTTGTATCAGCTTTGAGCATTTCACCTGTTATTCCATGAGGTTCAGGGACCTTCCGGTTCTTTAACTTCTGAAGTGCACTTCCTATTTCATATATCCCAAATTCATTCAAGAAGATGTCCATTTCTTCTTTGGACTCTGGTATATCACTTTCACTGAAAACCTTATTCATTACAATTCCCATTTTACCCAAATAAAGTATACCAACTATAAATGGCATGATGAGTCTTCCCTTCAATGAAAACAACAAATTTCATTTCTGAGAGTTAGTGAGTGAAGAAGAGTGCTGAGTGGTATTAACTTACTTGTCTCGAGTGACCATCAGTGAGCTAAGAAGAGTGCTGAGTGACAGCTGGTATTTACTAGCTATCAAAGACAACACCATAGCACAACACATAGCACGGTCTTCATTCTGGCTTGAACGTACCCTGGCAAGAAAGACATATCATTGTGGGGTGAACAAGAATGAATAAAAATTGGTCTAAAGTTGCTACAGTTGAGGCCAGGCAAAGGGTCAGGGCTGGTACTCATATACAGTAACTGGCTGAAGGCCCAAAAATATGGAGTGGCTTTTTGTGTGTGCAAGTGTTTTCCTTTGAAAAGATCTTGTGATGAAACATCAGGAATAAAGCTCCATCTCTTAGTTGTGTTTCCTACACTACCATCTATAATTCCAATTATTTATTGTATTATAAAAAAATAAGCATTAACAACAAAGGAGATAATAATTTGAGCTGAGGATATACAGCAAATATGGTATACATAAAACAAATATTTTCATAACATAATGGCAACTTCTTACCTCTTATTGAGGTGGTTGTGGGTATACTCATCCAAAATGTGGCGCTTAATCATTGGTGGGCACCCTTGCAAGTTCTTATCTTTGACTTTCATGTGTTGGATATCTCTTCCCTTCATGTTGAGGAATGTCACCAGGTATTCCACATACAGAGCTAGGCAGGTCAACCTAACCTGATTTTCTTCATCTTCCTCTAACTTTGCAACAGCTAACAACTCTTTGAACAGTAGTGTGCTTCTGTGGTTAAAACATTAAAGCATATGAAAGTGTAAGTTTCTTCTTGAAGGTCAAGGAAAAGTCACCCCCTCCCAAAAAAAAACTACAGTACTACCATACTTTCTAAAACAACTAAGTAGCTAATATGCAAAGTTCTTTTGCATGTGTTTTCAATTATACTGTTGTTGGCTGACTCCATTCTCACTGTAAGACATGACCAATGTTGCCTCTAAGCTGTGGACCTGTGAGGTCGCACGGCATTCAATCAACTACTGTGCACTTCATTTTTCCAGCCACGCATATCAAAAGTGATGATGAAGTGTATTTAATATCAATATATGTCTAAAGCTGAGTACCTTGTTGGAAAAGAGTCATGGACTATATAATCTAACTGGAGAAGTCAGGTGAAATTGCTTTCGGTGCATTAATTGTGTACCTACAAGTCTGATACAATTTACAACTTTTTATTAAACAGCAAATACAGTACTGTATATGTATAATCATGTTGTACTCAGTTGTACTAGGTAAGTCTAGCTTGAATATAGGTCACTTGTCTAGTGGTATTGGCCTTCAGAGGGTACATTATCACTTGTACAATTGCACAGAGAAATTCGTGGTCCGCCCAAGGTGGAGGGTATAAAGCCTATCCGAACCTTACTGGACTATGAGTCAGTGTCTAGACGCCCTAGGGTCTAACATGCAAACTAGCACCGGTCATTGAAAAATAAGGTGGCTGGACAAGATACTAAAACCTAAATTGGCTGACTTTTGCATTTTTATTGTTTCTTATACAGTATTGTCAGAGAATATATTAATTGGTAAAGCAAGAAAAGCACTACTCAAACAGTACAATTCCTTTAAGCACTATGACTACTTTAGTTACAGTATATATTCTGGTTAATGCCAATGACTATAGTGCATTTTTACCAGCTGAGAAAATATGCCCCATCCCCCTCCTCAAGAATTACAGCCAATTGGCTGTTTCAAACCTGTCCGATTTCGTCCTGAAGTAATGATGCATTTCTAAATGAGTTTATTCATAATCGCTGGGATGACCATCTCTGACAAGAAAGATATTTAGCTAAATTATATAAAGATACATATATTCATTATTTCAAATATAAGTACTGTAAGTAGGACGTTTATCAGAAGCATTATACATCAAGTAACTGTTAAACTCTGGTTGCAAATTCACACTTTTGGAGGATCCATTTAATATACAGTATACTATGTATACTTAATTTTACCCACAATAAGGCATAACTAAGACAAATTAGGTACCTATCAGTAATATTACATCATGCAAAAACTAACATTTTAAAATATCAGAATCACATTGAAATATTTACACAGCCATCAGCAGAGGTGGGAAAGATAAAGCTGATTGAAATAATGAATGTATGTCTCTTTATATAATTTAGCTAAATATCTTTCTCGTCAGAGATGGTCATCCCAGCGATTATGAATAAACTCATTTAGAAATGCATCATTACTTCAGGACGAAATCGGACAGGTTTGAAACAGCCAATTGGCTGTTTGAGGAGGGGGATGGGGCATATTTTCTCAGCTGGGAAAAACTCACTATAGTGCACAATTTGATTTAAGTACAGTATTTTCATTTTGCGAAGGAAAATAAAAGGAAATGCTTTTCCTATGCGATTTATTTTAGTAAAACACTTCTCTCTATGAAACTTGTAAACTGGCCTTCGATGCAGGTCCAAGAATGCAATACTGTATCACTTTTCACGAGAAAACGCTGGGCATCCCTGAAAATTACTGACGGCAATGGGCTGAGCAAAAGATGGCTGTCCTGGTCTCTCCAGATTTACTGACATAGAGGCATGAACATACACACACACACCCACCCACATGCATTCGTGTGTATGGATGGTGGTTGAATATGATTAATGGGGTCATGATGTTTTGCAATTTGATACAATTCATTTGATTTATCAAGAGTAACTACATTATTCCCATTATTTTTCATTTTCGTGGATTGGTGCAATACAACGCGAATTTAACTCCCCCACCTCCAGTCTCTCAATGCACTGTCGCGTGCATGTCTCCCGTCGTGCGAGCATCCTCTCAGTTACTTGGTAGCTTCCCTATTGTGTAGATGTGTATATCAACGACTGTGTTTTTAGACTTTTCTACATGGTAATTGTCGGCGTGTTGTAAACACAGTTTTGCACTGTCCAAGTGCACCTTCCAAGAAAAAAAGGAAGACCTTCTAATATTTAAGAAAATGTTAAAATTTTGGATGAATTTGAGTGTGGTCCAAGGGCCTCAGCTGTTGCTCACCATTATGGGGTTAACAAGAGCACAATTAGGAGCATCAAGCTGAAGGCAGCTGTAATAAGAAAAACTATAAAGAACCCAAAATTTCTAAGATAAGGCTGCATCTCAAATTGCCGATGTACGAGAAAATTGAGGAAGGACTAACAGTGTGGGTGAAAGAAATGCAGTTTCGACAGTTGTGTCAGAGTCAGCGTGGGAGGAGGTGGCAACAGCAGACAGGGAGGAGGAGGTGGAAGCTGACTGGAGGAAGAAGATGAGTTGACAGCTATTTTTACAGAGGAGGATTAGGATGCTTCAACCCACTATGATATTTAAGAAATTCCGCATACGGTACCGGGTACTTGTATAAAATGCCATGTTAAGTGAATATGAAGAGGAAAGTGAAAAAAGCAAACAAACCCTATGTGGCGTGTATTCAGGGAGGGAGGGAGGGAGGAGGGAGGGAGGGAGGGAGGGAGGGAGGAGGGAGGGGGAGGGAGGGAGGGAGGGAGGAGGAGGGAGGGAGGGAGGGAGGGAGGGGAGGGAGGGAGGGAGGGAGGGAGGAGGAGAGGGAGGGGAGAGAGGAGGGAGAGGGAGAGAGAGAGAGAGAGAGAGAGAGAGAGAGAGAGAGCTAACTTTTATTTTCTGTCATTTGGAAGAACTTGTGCATGTTAAAAATCCTCAAAATAAAGTATGATGTCAACAGAATAAATAATATGATGAATGGTGTCAAGTGATAGAGGGAAAAACATTAAAATCATTTGTATGATGTCTCATTCATACCGATTTCCATCCCAGGAGGGCAGTGTGGGAATCCGGTGGACATTGGACACAGTCGCAGTGAGATGTATGTTAAGGCAACACACGTTTAATGGGGTGTGTGGATATTTATGCAGTGCCTGACAGTTGTGTATCTATTATGTTTTTGTTTTGCAGACATTCTCGGTCCCTATGTTGCGAAACATCACGACTCTACACTTTTTTATAAATATTATCCCATCACCAGACTTACCCCCAAACTTTAATACTGTTAAAACTGCTATAAACCAATTATTAAACTGCTCAGGTGATACTTTGCATGTTGAGGGTCATCTAGAGACTGACTTGCAGTCCAGTAAGGGTGGGATGGGTTCCATACTCTCCAACTTGGGTGGACCATAAAATTCTGTGTGCAATTGTACCCCCTGCAGTTCATAGAAAATGTTGGTGTAACATTATTCTGCTGTAGCATGTCTTAAGCTGGTTACCAACCATGTCCATACCCTGAGCTATGCTCTCTCTCTCTCTCTCTCTCTATGTGACAATTACCATCCAATAAATTGTAATGACATAAAAGATTAATGGTCCTTCACAAACACTTACTTGGGGTCTGGATCTTTACCATCTAGTAGCTCTCTTGCAGAGTCCTCCATATAAGCTAAGAAGTTGTCTGGGGCAATGGACTCTAGTTGGTACACGTCCTCTGGCCGACTTGCCTGTAATTATGATTTTTATTTTAGAAGAGATCACATACAAAAGTACAATACTGCGATAAGGCAGTAGTTTTGAAAGATATCAAAGCACTTTTTTTTTATTGTGTCGAGATCTTTCCCATGTCTCAGTTAGCTTTAGTTACTGACTGTTCTAAAATTTTAAATAAAAAACTAAAATTCAAATAAAATGTGATAAATGAAATATCTATACAGTACTTATATAAAAATGAAATGCTCAATATTCAGTGAATAAATAGAGTGGATGGAGCTGAGCAACAAGTGGCTGAAAACATCTTAAAATCGAGGGAAATGACCTGTCTCCTTCATGAATTTAAAATACCCCATCCTCTGGGAATGACATGATACCAACATTTGACCAATTCTAATAAAAATGCTACCTCCTTATACACACGATGATGCTTGAGAAGTAATTTATTTTAACCTAAAAATAAGGTATGCCTGTGTATATCAACATTGTATATGGCCACAAGTCCTGTATTTCTGCTGGTAACAACACATACACCACAGCTGGCTGCCTCCAGGCTCCCGCTTGGTGACTCGTGCCAACCTGTGACGTCACAACCAATCACAGAACTTTTCGCAGTCACATGACCTGCCACCTCATGAAAAAAAAACTGACCGACAACTCATCCATTCCCGGTGCTTTGTTTTTATAGGTGAACAGCTGACCAGACAGCCAACCCCACCACCTGCCTGTGTGGATGTTGGTGTATTGGCATTACCCACACAAAATTATGAGAAGGGAAGGAGATGCTTATGTAATATAGAACAGTACTTTTTGTACATTTAAGTGTCGCTACTTATTTTGATGTTTTATGTATGATAGGTTTTATTAAAATAGGTTTGGAACAGCTTATGCATAATTTTTAGCCTCTGGAACCAAACTACAGTAATTACAGCTGCTTCCCGACTTACCACGGGGTTAGGGACTGACATCCAGGTCGTAAGTCGAAATGGTCGTAAGTCGGAAATGCTTAAATAACACATAGAAAATCTAAAATGGAGGTCACTCTTTCTTCTCAGCACCACAAAACACTCACTTTTAAGCTTGTCAGCCATTTTAAAGTGAATTACAGAAGAAAATTTTGTCTGTGTACTGACTTTGGGACTCGAAAATACGTAATTTGACCAAATTTTGGTACGACTGAGGCAGGTCGTAAGTGCGGGTGGACGTAAGTCGGGGAGGAGCTGTATTGCCATTTAAATTTAACTACAGTCCGCAATTTAATAATTCACGATGTCCACTGGTACAGTACCAAAACCACTAATTTTCTCTTAGGTTCCAGAAATTGCACATTACATCATCTCTCGAACCCAGAAAAATATTCCCCATCCCCAGAATTTTCTGGGTACAGGGAAAATTTTCTTGGAATTTTCCAGAAAATGTGCTTCTGAAAATCATCCCCAAAGCCAGAATTTTCCGGAAAATTCCGGCTTTGGGAACAATTTTCCGAGAAAATTTCATTTCCGGCTATCAGAGAGTTCCAGTTAAAAGGGATTCCTGCTAACGGAGATATTACTGTTACAAAGTAAAATCATGTTGCTAGTCAGTTATGAGGATGACTGAGCAGTGTTCAATGCATGTATTTGTTATTAACACATATGTAAAAAAAAGACCATATTTTTGCACTGAATTAGGTATATAAAAAAAAAAAAAAACGATGGGTCAGGAATCTTGGTAAGAATCGGATAAAATTTTGGTGAGTTGCAGGTACACCTGTACTGTACTCTCTAACTGAGGTGGAATGTATCTCAGTCACATGGCTACCCTGGCAATATTACTACAGTAGTATATGCATGATGTTATTAGTTGGGCCTATATTCTTAGGGAAAATTTTTTCATGAAATTTATCTTACATAAGTGATAAAGGGGACCCTCGTTATCTGCAGTTAATTGGGACTGGAAAAACGCCTCTGATAATGAATCCACTTAAAGCGGGGAATTAATCCCATAAGAAATAATGGAAATAGGTCAAATTGAGACCATGACATTGTACACGACACTCAAAAAATTTTATATTACAGTATAGTCTCGATTTACGTGGATTTCCTTTACGCATTTGGTCATTTACGAGGCACCTGGCCAGATCGGCAATTATTACCGGTAGTTACGCGGTACATTCCATCATTTACGCGGGAAGCGGCTCGGGCAGGGCGCGCACAAGGTCGACCAGTCAACAAAACATTACAGTACCGAGTTCTTCACCCGCCACCCACCACAGCCAGCCCCAGTCAGTGATAGTGAGGATATGGACTTTCAGGGGTTTGACAAAGAAGCCCTGCAAGCCTCTGTGGTGGATAGTGATACAGGTGATACAGGTGAGGGCCAATAATCTGTCCTCTGCCTCGGAACCAACCCCCCCATCCCCGTGTGCCCAGCCATCTCTTCTACTAACGTAAGTGTTAAAAAACCTAATATTATTGATATTTTTCTTAAATATTAATTGTGTGTACATACCATCATAAAATTAAGATGTTGTTTTCACTACAACGTACATATTGTGTCGGATAAAGGGTAGTCTGGGGGTCGGCCCAGTCTCTATTTCAATTAATCCCATATGTTCTGTTATTTCGTTTACGCGTTTCTCGCTTTACGCGCACCTCCATGGGTTTAATTGACCGCGTAAACCGAGACTATACTGTATATATTTTAACAATTATTTATGTTAGAAATATTTGTTAAACATTTGATGACACTTTTTTAAGAAATTATTTATTTTTATAAGTTATCTAACGTCCTTAAAAGTTCATTGGGGTCGGTGTGTTGAGGCAACTTAGGTTGTGCCAGTGACCCGGTGGTCCACAGCAACCGTTGCTGGTGCACACTCACTCCAATGGTTAAGAGAAAATACTTTTTATAATGTTTTAAAAATAAATAATTTTAACATATAATAACATACTTTTATTTACTTATCTTCAAAGGTAGAAATGTCTTGCTTAATTGGATTGATGGAGGATTAGTGAGAGGATGAAAAAGAAACAGGACTGGGTGGATTGTCCACTCCCACTCTTCTTTTGCCTACTCACTTCAAATTTTACAGCTATACCATAGCTAGTGTGCTTCCTTTTGAGTGCTGCACCACCCTGTTTGGGTTGGGAACTCATGGCTACAAAAATGATAAAATAATTCACCACAGTATGCACGAAAAGACACTACAAAGGCAGGAATAAACAAAACACAGCACTGGTCTGGATGAAACAAAGCAGGAGACTGGCACGGGGACACGTGTGTGCATGCATGACGCCATGAAGATGATGAAATTTCAGAAGCTTCAGCTAAAAATCCGTAGCTTTTATTAGGAGTTTTTAGAGTTTTTGAGTAGAATTCACTTAAATGCAGGAACTTTTTATGTGGATGGTCACAAAAAGTTGATCACTTGACTGCAAAACCGCGGACAGTGAATACAGTACAGTACTCTGATAACGAGGATCTCCTGTACTGTACTTCCCTTAAAACCCTTATAGCTTCAAAAGAATCTTTTTGAACATTTTTTGGGAAGAGAGAGAGCTTGTTCCCCCTTCTCGAAATGCCTTAACAAAATTCTTTTACATTAGTATACCGGTTATGTATTGTCTAGAAACTGGCAACCCTGAAGTCACAAGGTTGCCAGTTTGGGGACAATGTACTGCATAATTTTTTATTCACACCTGTCAAAGTCAATTAAAAAGATGGATATTGTAGTCAGTAATTAGTGCACTTACTTTTCTGTTGCACTCTGGTAAGATTGCCAAGATAGTTTTGTCTTCTTGTGAAACTTCTAGATAGGTAGGGTCCAAAGTAACAGATGATGTAGCTTGATCAATAGCCACAGACATATTTTGCGCATTAACCTGTGAAGTAGAAACATAGCTTATATTATCAAATTACACACACACACACACACACAAATATATATATTCATGTGTGTGTGTGTCCCTCACAGTATCGTTCTTGGGTGGCCAGAATACAACCTGCTTTGTGGGGGCCCCAGGCTCTAGCCCAGGTTGCCCCCCCTTAAGCTGGCACTGAATCTGCCAACAGCAGCTGCCTCATTTCCCATTTACATACCAACCACAAAGAAAGAGCCTCCCTCTTTATCATGCTTGTTTTCACCTGCCTTACTGCCCTAGTCATGAAAAAATTAAATCAAGGAAAAATTACATATCCTTGATCTAGTCTTATTGCAGCTGGCTTTCCATTCATAATAATACAATAATTTGTCTTGAACATTCCAATCATGTGTCAGTTATGAAGCATCACTTGTCAGGTAATAGGAAGCCTGGACTCACCTGGTACAGTTTACGGCGGTTAACAGACTGCTGAGCTCTTTTACTTCCAAAAGCTGAAGTAATTGCCTCTTGTTTTTCTGCAAACGTCAGTAAGTCTGACGATTTTTTTAAAAGAGCCTTTGTGGTCTTTGTTGATTCTAACACTGGATGAACACAATATGAGCTGGTTTCTATAAGTCGCATTTTCCCTGACAAGGAAAAAATTAAAGAAGTGTAAGTACGGAACTAAAAATATTTCATATACTGTACAGTACAATACACCTTCATACATAATATTCATAGGGGTTGGGTGTAAATGGAACTGCCCAGTATGGGCCAATAGGCCCGGTGTAGTTGCCTCCATTCTTATGTTCTTGTACAGTATTATGTTCTTAAAGTAAAATACAATAGTCCATCGTTATATCCTCCTCCACTTATTCAAAGTATTACTGGCTAATTCATATATTTTTCACATGAGCGCAACATAAAATATCTACATAAAATGCTACCAATAAAAACTTTTATTTGCCAGTGTTAACTCAAATCCATTTCTATTGAGATTTCATTACAGTCTAACCAATATCTACCAAACTTTTTGAAAAGATTGCAATTTTAATCATTAGTGCTGCACAGCACAGTACCATACAGCACTTTTCCATGATGCAACCACCCTAGCAACAAGATGGTAACATACTTCAATACTTAGGTGTTGGCACTGCCTAGGCTTACAACAAAACAAATACAGCAACTGGTTGTACAGTTGTATACCCTGTACAGTAAATAAATATTATTAGTGTTAGCATAACTTAACATGCACTAGTTGTATGTTATGTGAAAATAATACTGTTTCATTAGGGCTTACACTCAGCACAGTTTGTTCTTTTCCAAGATGTAATGAGCCTACATAGAGATGCAAACATTACGACACAAAACATGATTGTACACATAAATACCATTAGTGTTGGCCTCACTTCACATGTACTCATAGCTGCATTTAGACTTGTGGGGACCCCATAGATATTCAGATAATTGGAAATAATATCTGCTATGATACAAACTACAGTACAAGTACTATCTCTATTATACAGAACATATAAATTTTAAAGCACAGTTTAAAGAAAGTGAACAGCTCGAATCCCTGATGTTGCAAACAGTACAAAACTGAGTTAAATTGTAGCAGTTGGCAGATTCCATTACCTGTGTATTACCAAGTTAAAAATTTTAAATTAATTCACATGCTTCATTGGAATGAATGAAATATTTAGCCACTTTCAGCCATTGCAGATTGCTATCATATGCACAAGGCTAGCATCCTTGAAGAGCTCTTGTGATTTAGTTTGCAAATATATACTGTATACAGGTATACCCCGTAAACCGAGGTCCCGTTGATTGATTGATGCTTTGCATACCGGGTAGCTGACAATTGTAACCGGGAAGGTTCGCCGAGTACCCCGTTGATATGAGTTTGTGCTATGCCATCATGCCTAAGCACCTCAGCAATATTTCCTCTTCTGTTTAAACCACAAATGATTGCCAGTATTTTAAGTAGAGTACAATATATGTTGTCTGTAATGGGGATAGTGTACAGTGGTCTAATCAGATTTGATATTGGCCTTACGAGAACTAATAGGTACAAGAGATGTTCAAGTGTCAACGTGCTAGAGATTGTACAGGCACTCCCCGACTTACGACGGGGTTAGGGACCCAAATCCAGGTCGTAAGTCGAAAATGTGAAAATAATACATAAAATTCTAAAATGGGTGTCTCTTTTTCTTCTCAGCACCACAAACTCTCACTTTTAAGCTTGCCAGCCATTTTAAAGGGAATTACAAACAAGAAATTTTGTCAGTACACAGCGCAATCACTAATGTCGGGACTCGAAAATACGTAATTTGAAATTTTTTTTGGTACAACTAGGGTGGTCGTATGTCCGGGTGGTCGTAAGTCAAGTAGGTTGTAAGTCGAGGAGTACCTGTAATACCAAATACGTATCTGATATGCAGATGATACTGAGCTTACCACAGATAGTGAAGAAGTGTTACAAAAGCTTGTTAACAGATTATGGAAAATGTGAAGAATATGGGGTTAAGATTTAATGCCGTAAAGAAAAAAGTAGTGGTTATTTACAAATTGGAAATAAATCCTAAAATCAAAATTATGGTGAGCAACCGGGAACATAAAAACAAGTGGAATTTTTTTTGTACAGGTATTTGGGAAGTAAACATTAGCTGTGACCAATTCAGTATTTAGGACGGTGCAAGTTGCCATAAGGCATAAAGGCTGTTGCTGGTATGGCCCTGACTGCATAGTCAAGGTGAAAGAGGCGATTGCAAGCCACAGGGAAACGAGTTCCCTAAGGACGAAAATAGATGAAGCGGGATCCTTGCTGGTTGCCAAACTAGAACAAGCTGGGAAAGAGATCCTTGCTAAGACTGAGGAAGTAGCCAATAGAATGGAGGTGGTTGCTAAGAGGAGTTATGCTGAGACCTTAGCAGGGCCACAGGAAGTGGTGGAGAGGAAAGCAGAATCAGAACAGGTTCTACAGCAGCTAGGGACTCTGAAGAAGTGTGTCGAAGAAATGACAATTAGTGGACATACTGTTCGGGGAGAGGAGGAACAACGGGAACGTATCCAGCGCAAGACCAATGTAATAGTTTTTGGAGTCCCTGAGAGCCAGGCGGAGGGAACTGAGAGTAGGATAACACACGATAAGATGCAGTTTAAGAATACCTGTACAGAGGTTCTGAAGATGCCATCAACCCCTCAGGATGCGAGGAGGCTGGGACAAAAGCAGGGGGATAAGCCTTGCCCCCTCAGGATCACACTAGTGAGTGAGGAGGAGAAATGAGAGGTTATTCGGCAGGCAAAACACTTAGCAAGGAGCGAGGCATTTCGGAGTGCATTCATTCACCCAGATTGCACAGTAATGCAGAGGGAACAGCACAAGAAGCTCCTGCAGGGCTTGAAGCAGAAGAGGGAGGAGTCAAGGCGGAACGGGGACGGGTGTACATGCGTTATATTCAGGGGGGAGGGTAGTGGAAGCAAGTGTACCGACACAGAGTCAGGAGGCAGCAGCGCACCCCCCACCAGGGAGGTGGCACCAGTTCCGCCTACCAGCCGGGAGGAGGCGAGCGCCGTGTAAACAATGACATTTCTAACCACACCCAGCAAAATACAGTGTACAGTACTTAGCAAATGCTGCAGCTTCTGAGAATGGAGGGGGGCTGGAGTTACTACCAAGAACAGAGACGTTACCGAGAACAAATTCTGGCTTGAATGTCATGTACACTAATACTGACACATTCCTTGATAAGAGAGAGGAGTTTGAAACACGTCTTGTGTTTTGTATCTGTAAACTTAGAGAAAGCATTTGGCAGGTACCACATGAGGTAGTAAAATGAGCTGTACAATGCTGTTGATGATGGAGGGGGCACCCCTTGTAACTGGGGCCAAGCAACAGGACTCTACAAATGGCAAACATAGTTTTCTTTTTATGTTTTGGTCCTTTTATCCTTATGTATGATAAATTTAGAGATTAATATTTTTTGCGGACTAGGTCAAGGACTGAAACTTAAAACTTATGACACCACACAATATGGTACATTCATGCATACTAAACAAGTTTCCTTATGAGTGATTGACTGATTGTGTAATTACATCCGTCTTCTTATGATTAGGGAAACTGTGTACAGTACACTTTAATTCTTTTCAAGCATTATTCAACATTCTTACTGCCAATACATAAACAATACAGCTTCAGAGTTTCGTCTTTTCCTTTTCATTCACCACTTCATACTTGGCAATTTGTTTTAACATGAATTCTATCACCACTAAAAATAAACACAAACCTGTAGCTTTGTTTAAAATCCCAAGAAAAACCGATTGCTTAGCGGAAAGCGAACTGACTTCTTTTCCAAAGTTCGTTCCATCATAGTTCAATCCTGGAGTCTCTATTTCAAGGATTCGTTTGTGCTGATGTCGACGATCCCTGGTGATGTTCTGATGCAATGTTCCACTCAGATGTGCACCCTCAACTGGTTGTCCATTGGCAAATGTTACTAAAAAGAAAAAAACAAAATAATGTACACAATAGATTTTCTTTAAATGTAATATTTAATACTGTAATAATAATAATAATAAAACTATGAGTAGTGCACATAACCTACATAAGACAAATGTATAAAAATTTCTTTGGTATACAGCACTGTACAGTTCAGGATATTCAATTTATTTCTGCCACTTGACTCATTATTTTTTTGATGGGATCTTTATTGATACTGTACAGTACTACAGGTTGACAATCCCTTATCCGAAATCCTTGGGGCCAGAGGTATTTCGGATTTCGGAATTTTTCGGTTTTCAGAATGGTTAGGGTTTTTTTTTATGTGTGTATTAGCCCACCCGGGCACAAGTCACTGACCCACAATGGGGCCTGGGGGGGCAAAAATATAATAATAATAATAATACATAATTATAATAATAATAATAATACCTGTAATAATAATAATTCATAGGTCTAGGTCGTGTTTCTCACTTTTTATCTTTTTTCATTGTTGTATTTCTTTATTATTATTATTATTATTATTATTATTATTATATTTTGGTGTATTTTTTATTAAAATTTTTATTTACTATGAATAATTACAGTTGTACCCCACTTAACGCGGTCAATAGAACCCAGAGGGTCCCGTGTTAAGTGAAATCCGCGTTAAGTGAACAACAGAACATATGGGATTAATTCCAATAGAAACCGGCCCGACCCCCAAACTCCACTTTTTGAAGGCACATACCTATGTTGTAGTAAAAATAACATCTTAATTTTATGATGGTACATGCACACAATTAATACTTAAGAGAAATAGAGAAATACAGTAGCCAAGTTAATGTCCATTCAAATAATGGACTCAACTCCCTCCCCCTCTTCTCACACTACACTGCTGGCTCTTCCCTCTCAGAGAAATTTTTGGGGGAAAACCACTAAATTTTAATAAATAATACCTCAAACTAAAGTTAGGATAATACAATTGACATTGCTGGATTCCTTGTAAGACCAGGAATATTTTGAATATAAATGTCATATATTTTGCACAAAAGATAACATAGTTACCTAGAGAAAAATTTTTATCTAAAATTTGTATGTTTAATGCAAAATATATGATGTTTATATTCAAAATGATCACCAAATTATAAGAATTCCAGCAATGTAAATTATATTCTGACCGGGTAATTTGTATGAATTTTATGAGCTAAAACAAATATCTTCAGTTAATAAAAAAAAAAATAATCTTCACGACACTATCTGTCAATCAAAGTACCCCACCTTGCCTCCCCCCCTCTTCCAACCGCGCGGTCAGTCCCAACCCTCCCCCCCACCCCCCACCAATCCTCCCTTCCAGAGTTTTTAACATTTAGTATTAAATAATACCTCAGATTAAAGTTAGGATAATATAATTGACATTGCTGGATTCCTTGTAAGACCAGGAATATTTTGAATATAAATGTCATATATTTTGCACAAAAGATAACATAGTTAATTTGAGAAAAATTTTTATCTAAAATTTGTATGTCTAATGCAAAAATATGATGTTTATATTCAAAATGATCATCAAATTATAAGAATTCCAGCAATGTAAATTATATTCAGACCGGGTAATTTGTATGAATTTTATGAGCTAAAACAAATATCTTCAGTTAATAAAAAAAAATAATTCTTCACGGGTAACAGATGGTCGGTCGGTCCCTCCCTCCCCCCCACCCCCCACCAACCGTCCCAAGGAGATGTGTGGGATAACCACTAAATTTTAATAAATAATACCTCAAACTAAAGTTAGGATAATATAATTGACATTGCTGGATTCCTTGTAAGACCAGGAATATTTTGAATATAAATGTCATATATTTTGCACTAAAGATAACATAGTTACTCTGAGAAAATTTTTTATTTAATATTTGTATGTCTAATGCAAAATATATGATGTTTATATTCAAAATGATCACCACATTATAAGAATTCCAGCAATGTAAATTATATTCTGGCCGGGTAATTTGTATGAATTTTATGAGCTAAAACAGGCAGTCAGGCAGGGTGGCGGGTGGGGCAAATCTAAAAATAGCGTCTCGAGCCGGACACTCACCGCGTATATGTGGAAAAAATCCTTGTTAAATGAAAGTTCAGCTCTGGCGAGGCACCGCGTATATGATAAAACGCGTTAAGTGAAACCGCGTTAGGCGGGGTAATACTGTATATTATAATTATTATTATTACTATTACATTTTCGCTCCCCAGGCCCCGATGTGGGTCAGTGATTTATGCCTGTGTGGGCTAATGCCTGTAAAAAAAAACAAAAAAACAAATGCTCCTCAAAAAAATTTCGGTTTTCGGAATTTCGGATAAAGGGTTGTCAACCTGTACCATAATTTTAATGCAAAAAGACAACCCTATGGGGGAACAAGGAAAAATTGTGTGAGCTTTTAATGCTATAGTAATATATTAAATCGTCATATGAAATACTGGCCTTGTCAAGAAGCTAAAAGCTGGGCCAAAGAGGCTTTTTCAATAAACCATTTATGACAGCAGACAACACAAACCAACCAGGTCAAGTTTCAATTTAGATGATTCATGTGACTTGTTGTGTAATTTAACTGTTACTTTCGTTTTTGATAAGGGGTATTTTTAGATAGCTCAGCTATTCACTGAGAAGTTTCCTGTGGGAATTCCTATTAATGAGTACAGACCCTTCTCTTATAGATTAACTTGTTAGGTTTGGTTGGTTCATTTTGCCTTTTTTCAATAGCAGCTTTGCATGACTTTCACCCAAAAAATCTGTAGTTTAAGAATGGGCAAAAGTGTAACGTACTATCCATGCAGACCATAACCGCCATGTTTGAAATTCTATACAGTTCTACGGTAATTATGAAAAATACGGGTGTCATGTTGTAAGAGAAAGTGTGGAATATAGAAGTGAAGAAAAGTTTAGTGGTATAGAGATTGCCGGTAATGCACGATGGAGGGTGAGTGTAGCATCAACTGACTAAACTGAGGTGTCTGGTGTACAGTATGAACACTCTGTATTTCTTAATGTGGTGACACGTTTTCTCCACTGGCTGTAAGCTACCTAATGTAATGCCCACAGTGAAACCACAGTACAGTACTGTATTGTACTGTGCAATTTTCAGTTCCTCATAGACTGTCCATGGTCCAGTTACATCAGAATTTAATTAAATTTTTTACACTTAGCACTGTTAAACTCAGTGCTATCTCTTTTGTGTTTGTTTCAAGGTATTGTGAAAGAAAAGAAAATCCATATAAAACAAAAGAAGAGAGCACACATGGCAGGAATCAAGACTCCTTGAAGCTGGAAGATTGAAACTGCATTGGTCATAACTCAAAGGCACCTGTGGCTGCAGTGTTCATACCAAGTAAACAAAGCAATGGTAATCTAGGATGATGCAATAACTCATCAGGGTTCGAGAGTGGGATTTTTTCATAAAGATTGTATTTCCAATTAAATAATGGAAATCGATGTATAGTACAGTACAGCATTACTACGAAAAAAAATTATGTATAGATAAGGTTAGGTAGGTTTCTTTGGTTGGTTTGGTCAAGTTCTATTAGGTTCTAGTAAATGTCACCTCTTTTTTAAGTTCCATGCACAACAGAAATATGGTTAAATATGTTTACACCTACACAACGATTAACTCACAGCGAAATAAATCCCAAATACCACCAGTCACGGTCAAATATAGTTCTTGCATTGTTCGCCAGTAATGGACAATTAGCCAAACATGGCTCACTCTCGGTAAAATAGCTTAGCAGGAACTTACTGGTCACTGCAAAATATCCACTGCTTTTTAGTTACAGATTGACTTTTGAAAATGGGTTTTTATAGTGTAAATCATCGTGTTAAATACAAATATGACCTTCAATGCCGTTGGAAATGAGCAGTAGTTGAGATATATAAAAAAAGAAAAAAAAAAAAAGCTAACCCCTAGTGTAAGAAACTTACATTAAGTAAGAAAAGAAACAGGAGGATAGAGTGATACGACTTGAATGAGGAAATGGTGTCTTTGTCAGCGTCCGTCTCTTCCACAGTACCATGCATGACGATCTACACAGTAATGAAACTCTGAACTACGTTCTTGGACACTTTACAGAAGAAACAAGAACACCATGAGCCCTAAAAATGACAACAGCTGCTGCTTCATTGTCCAAAATGTGCTGAATAATGTGGCAGCCAGCCATTGTACATCCATCTTACACAGACGCCATCTTCCAACTGGCCGCGAATGATGATTATTGCAATGCAGCGCTTTAAAATGGTTGCATCTCATTACATAAGTACCGTATGTTATTCCGTCACACAAACATTGCACTACAGGTACAGTACATATTTCACACAATGTGGTTTAGAATAACTTTATTGCAATTTCCAGGTTTCAGGCTAATAGATTTGGCAGTCTCAGTTTATAAACTGGGCGATGTAAACGTTTTAAATCGTCATATATATAGACATGGAGGAGTCTAGACTGGCTAAGATGCAAATATTACAAAGAAAATTACGATAGGATGTGGGGTATCCATTGATCTGACTCACTACAGTAAGGCATAAGAATGCAGACACTGTGCTGAATATCACAATTAGTAAAGTGAATCATTTGATTGATAAATATATACCCAAGACCAAACCCAGTGCCTCTAGGAAGACAAGGGGACCCCTACACATGAACCATACGGCAGTCGACAAATTTAAGAAGAAAACCCAGAAATTCAAGGCATGGGTTATGTCAAACAATCAGTGGTGGGCACAACTAAACAAAAAGTTAGCTTCTCTAACTGCTAATCTGCTAACTAACAAGTTAACTTCGCTAACGCTAAACAGCTAAAAAAATTAGCGGAAGCTAATGCTAACCGCTTTTATAATATGAATTTAGCTTCGTTTTTTTTGCTCTAAAACCCTTAAAAACAGACCTAGAGAGCTGAAATTTTCATATGTTGTCTTGTAGCTTAGACAGAGCTTTCCAAAAAGGTATAGGACGTTGTAAGTGAACTGAACTCAGA